CATCAAGCAGGCTCTAAGGGATCACTGAGAGAGGCTCATGGCCTGTTCTAGTCAGTCACACTATTTAATTCAGTAGTATCTCTCAGGAGAGACCACAATTTTATTCCACTAGTTTTCACATTTAAATCTGAACATACCTTTTAAAAATGCTTTTACTGTGAATTCTTCCTCCCAGCAGCTTATCAATAGCATCTGTTCCATCCATCTTTGTGGCATATACACCAATTATTCTACTCTCACAGCTTGCACCAGATGTGTTAAGATAGTGGAGAACCCAAACTGTTGGTTTATTGCAAACTAAACCATATGAATCACAGAAGTCTGCTAAAGCCTAAAGCAAAGAGATACATGAAATTTGAATTTAACTTGGGAGTAAAACAGAAAATTAATTTTTTCCATTACTTTCATATAAAGCTGGAATTTCAGTTGATCATAGGGAAATAACAAGATTACACATTTCAGCGTAACCATTAGACCTTTAGAACCATATTGCAAGCACCGTTTGCTGGATTCACTGGGGGGAGGAGAAAACAACCACACAAAGTGCCACCCCAGCCTAAAAGCTTCCATTTAGAGAAGTTTTTATGCCTGGAAATCCTTTTTTTTTTTTATCTCTACCTCTCTTTACTTACCAAGATTACTTTTAATTTTATAATCATCATAAAATCTAATCTTTGTAAAATTATTTCCCCACTGCCATCATCACTTTTAATTTTATAATCTTCAAAGAATAATGGAAATTTAGACCCTTTCTTTTCCCTTTAGAATATTATCCCCCCAATTTCCCATTTCATTCCATCTTCCTTTCACTAACCCCTTGGGTGATTCTTACTTTTAATTTCAAATTCAAAGATGAATTAGTTAGATCAACTGCTCTTTTACACTAACAGACATGAATACATGAGTTCACTGTATATTATCTGAATCCATTTGGTATTATTCTGCCTGTTCATTTATTCATTTAAATACTAAGTACTTACTATGTGCATTGGCTAAAGCCTTAGAGATGCAATAACAAATGAAAGATAGGTTTCCAATCCTTCTAGAACTTACAGTTAATGACAGACATTAAATAAACTATTAGCACATCATGCTGAACTGCAAGGTGCAATAGGGCAGAAAGGTTTTATCCAGTGGATAGGAAGGAGAAAAAAATAGAATTGGTGCTATAAACACACTAAGGACAGGCACTTCTGTCTCTTTTAACTCACTATGTATCCTAAGTGTATGCAGAAGTGCTTGACACAAAGCAGACACGCTTTGACTAGGGACTCGGCAATGAAAATAGAGCCCTAATGTCCATTTAGTACTGCTATCTAACTCCCGTATTGGTTTTTAAGTTTGCCTGCACAAGACTTTCCAATTAAATTATGAATTGTTCAAGGGCAAAACTGCATGTCACACTTCTTAGTATTCCTTGCATAGCTCCATATATTTCACAAAAATTGGAAAAAGACATGTGTGAGCTTATAGAAGGAATATGGATATACTATTTCCTTTTTGAATAAAAAATCAAGAATAAAAGATCATAGAATTGGAACATCCAAAAATAAATGTTAACGTTCAAAAACCTCTAGCCAGACTTCCTTAGCTCTTTTGTTTAGATGCAGCATATCAAACATAGAGAATCACTGTTTAATAGTTCAATTTATAAATAACTTCAGCAGCAGAACCTATGCAATCATGCAAATCACTGAATGGGACCTGGAACTCAATCTGTCAGCTTGCTTCCTGGACACTGACATGCAGACAAAAATTGAAACCAGTTCAAATCAGTTTTCACTATTAAAAATCATGGAGAGAAATAGGTTTGTTGGATGCCCAAATTAGCTAAATAACACATAATATCTTGTCAATAAGTCAATGAAGCTTTGTAAATTAGAAAATAATCTTTAAAATGTGATTTAACATAGTAGCATATTTAAAAAAAAATTACTGATCACAAAGTAAATTAATCAAACTTATGTTTTAACTGAGTAATAAATTGTTACACTCACTAAATCAGGCAACAGATTCTGTTATTACCACGACTGCTCTTTAAAAAATTGTATCACTATACTCTCATAGACAGTACTATTATATTTCTTCTAACATAAAAATAACTTCAGGAACAGAATAGTACCGTTTAAAAAGTCATCAAGAAATGTTGTATCTTAAACTAAGAAAATAAACTTAATAAATCTTTGGCAATGCAATGCACTTACTATAACAGAATTAATAGAGTCTTAGCCTTAGAAAAATGAGGTGGAGCCTGGTGGAACAGGTTCAACATGTCACACGAGGCGTCCACATCCCATATCAGAATACCTGAGTTTAAGTTCCCAGCTCCTTTTCCAGTCTCAATTCCTGTTAATGCATACCTCAGAGGATAGCACATTATGGCCACAAGGACAATCTAAACTGAGTTCCCAACTCCTGGGCATTTGAGGAGTGAACCCACAGATGGAAGATGTCTCTTTTTCCCGTTCTTCCTCCTTGCTTCTATCCTTCCTTCGCATTCTTCCTATCTTTCTCTCAACTTCATTATTTAACACATGTACAGACATTTTAAAAACCGTCTTAATCTTAGTTATGTGACAACACAGGCTATATAAAACAACATATTGGTTTGCCCACAGTATTTATTTATTTATTTTAAAACTTAAGAAAATGTCAAGACCTTTTTTAGTTCTATATTTGACCGTAAAGAATATATCTCCATTTCATTGGCCAAGTGATCAGACAAGCTGTATGGATAAGGGATGCCAAAATAATCAGCCTCTTCCTGTAGGGCAACTCGGGTTTGTTCATCCGTGGGAATCCGAACTTCTCCATGAAGATAATCCAAAAGATATTTAAAGAGATGTCCATCGCGATCAATGACACAAGCCCCTAGAAAATACCCAGTTCAAAAATGACTGCACAAATTATAGAACAAACTTTAGCAATTTGAAATAAGTCTACTTCTACAGTTGCTTCTTTCTCACAAGAAAGCTAACGTTCTATGTTCAAATGGGTTCAGTCAATTAAACCAAGCTAGATTTTTGATGCTTCACTGGAACAGCAAATATGATACCCCAACAGCCCTCAGCTTACCACTGAGTGATATGTTAAAACTAAGTTTGAGTAAGCTGTTCAGGAAAATCATCTGTATTTAAATAATACTGCATGTAAATCTGAATGCAAATGTATATCATCACAGTCACTATGTTTGGTGCAACAGGTATACTATGAAATAAAGCTAAAATTCTAGGAGTGAGGCCAAGGACAAAAGTAGAGCTGAAATCAAGTCTATAATCTGATCATGTACCCTGGAATCAAACTGTATCTTCCTAGATAAAATGTAGATGCAATGCCTACCCTTTCCACTGTGACCACCGCAAAATCCAGGAGACCTCAGACTTCTGAAACAGAAACTCACCTCTAGCCTCAGCCCAGCTGCACCAGAACAGATGTATATAGTTGCTCACTAAAGAGGGTATATGTCTACCAACAACCTTTTCCCTCTAGTGGACATTGAGTCCTGAATACCAGTAATTTGTATGTTTTCCATCCTTTCGGCTGTCATTAGCTGGCACAGCAACCTCCTGGGAGAACAGGCCCTCATATTCAAGACTCCTCCACCCTGCTCCTCTGACACAGAACCAAAGAACATTGCTGAGGATCAAAGTGAAAAAAAAAACAAAAAACAAACAAACAAAAAAACTCACTAACATTGAAATTACTTTACAATCAGGAAGCCGATTCAATGAATCCCAGAGTACACAAAGCAATCAGAGTAGCCCCCAAACTCTATCTTATATTTTATTGTTTCTTCTGAACACCAAATTTTGGGCCCCTGCCACCAGCTGACAGCACCACTACAGTATTTTCTGAGTCACATATGTCACTCCACATGAGACCATGAAGCTACTAGGTAAGGTGGCAAGTACAGTAAGTAGTCTTCCCTTATCCACGGTGCCACTTTCTACAGCCAACCTTGGCTCTAAAAAGGTCAAATGGAAAATTCTAGAAATAAATAGTTCCTAAGCTTTAAGTAATTTTCCTTTACTGTTACTATTGCAACAGTTCTATTTCATTGTTAGTTACTATCATTCACTTTTTACTGTGCCCAACTTACAAATGAAACATTATCAGGCCCAGCACCACAGCTCAGTGGCTAAATTCTCACCTTTCATGGGTCACGATCCTATATGGGCACCAGTTCACGTTCCAGCTGCCCCACTTCCCATCCAGCTCCCTGCTTGTAGCCTGGAAAAGCAGTGGAGGACGGCTCAAAGCCTTGGGACCCTGCACTCATGTGAGAGACCTGGAAGAAGTTCCTGGTTCCTGGCTTCAGATCCACTCAGTTGCAGCCACTATAGCCACTTAAGGAATGAACCAAAGAAGAGAAGATTTTTCTGTCTCTCCTTCTCTCTGTAAATCTCTGCCTTTCCAATAAAAATAAATAAATTTTAAAATAAAATAAAACATTATCAAAGGTATTTATACTCAGGAAAGCACCTGGTGTGACAGGACTCAGTACTATTCAGTTTCAGACATCCACTGGACATCTCAGCATGGATTCCTAATGGATTTGCAGGGATTCCTGTATCATACTGATTCTACCCTGATGACTAGTCTGTCGTCTGTAAAAGTAGCTGCCTTCTTCAGAGAAACACATTTTCTAATTTGAAGAACAGAGAAAGGCTAATATATTTAATCAGCATAAATACCTCCACTCATGATGTTGCCTAAAAGCAAAGACTTTCAAAATATAGCTAATCTCCATAATTAGGTCATGGCTGACGTTTGCACACTCACTTCTTCATCAACTCTTAGCAAGAGCATCACAAACTTTAGGAAATAGACATTTAATTTTTCCATCTCTTTAATGACTCTCCATACAAGTCCTAATGATCTCAGTAATTAGGAATATTAATCTAACAGATTCTATTGTAATTTAAAAAAAATCAAAGGGAACTTCAACTGACTTCCTATTTGAATACTCAGGATCATTTGTCTAGACTTTTGACATGTACCTGATTCATCTGTTTTCAGAGGAAAACGCCCACTGAACATAGATGCCAGCATAGAGTCTTTGAAACGGCACAAGGACTCGCGTCGGGCTGTGTAAACACAGCCCCTCACGTTCAGGCGAAGAATATCCAGCACCTCCTCTTCTGCCTTGCGGTCTGCCATTGCTGCCTCAGGGATCAGATTTTTTGCCTTCCAACATCCTCAGAAACTTCAAAGCTAAGGCAGCGCCAGTGCCCCCCCTGTGAAAACAAAGGAGGATCGTCACTGACATTTCCAACAACATACTAAACAGACTATTGAACGCATTCTGCTGTGACTTCAACTGAATTCCTCAGTGCTGGCAACACTGAATTGAAGGTTTTAGGCAACACAAAAGGAGTCTGAGACATGCTGAGAAGCTGGAAAACTTGGCTCGGAGACTGCACAAGATGATAAACTCTTGCCAACCAAAGCATAGCTGCTGAAATGACTCAAAAAAAGTCAAGAAGATAACAACTGGTTTGCCACATACAAGGATAAAGCTGAGGCATGCCTGTGATCTTTGGGATTCATGCAACTTTCCAACTACACAGAGTCTGAGGAAACTGTCTAGACTACACACCTCACTGCATGAAGTCCAAGGATGCTATCTAGACTGTCAAGGACATCAGTGGGCAACACAGAGCTGAGCTGCCAGACTTTAACTCTCCATTACCTCTGGGACCCTTTGGCAAAACAGAGGCAGCAATAACATCCATTGCAAAGGACTATCCGAATCATTAACAGAACACCATTTGAAACAATGTCTGGGTCAGAGCAAATACTCAGCAAGTGACACGTATTATTTATAAGGATATACATTTTTTCATAAGGCATTGGGGCTGCAGCCTGCAATCCCAACAACCCATGTGAGCACTGTTCCAAGTTCTGGCTGTTCCACTTTTGATCCAGCTCCCTGATAATGAGCCTTGGGAGGCAGCGAAGGATGCTTCCATGCTGCCCCTGCACCCATGTCAGTGACCCATATGAAGCTCCTGGCCCAGCCCTCACCATTACAGCCATTTAGGTAATGAGACAATGGACAAAGGATCTCTGTCTCTCTCCCTCTGTGTAACTCTGCATTTTTTTTTAAAAATGTTTTTTCATAAGGTATATGCTGAGAAACTTTATAAATTAAGCCCAGAATCATATATATATATATACAGTAACCAGATTCATCTAAAATGACAAATAACACCTCTGCATCATCCAGCTTCATTAACATGCTGAAGTATCGGGAACCTCTCCCAGGACTGGTCTCTTCACACATTCCGGAGATCACAGAACCACAGGCATCTGGCATTTCTGGAGAAACTGAAATATTGTGAGGAAAAGGTACTGCCAACATTGAGAAGCTGCCGTATGTACACAAATCACAGCAGCTTTAAAATGGCAGCCAAGAGGCCCCACAATATCCACATCAACTTACTTCTATCAAGTGATCACCTAAGACCCTCTGGAAGATGCTCCAGTTTAGCCAGTCCCCAACAGGATGAGTGGGCATCACTAGAATCTAGGGGAGATCACATGTATAGAATAGTCATGGGACTGAAACCAATACATGGCTTCTCTTATGAGGACAAGCGCCCCCATACTATTTATGGAGGTGATGTCCTAGGCTGCCTGCAGGTTCTGGGAACAGCACTTAAAAGAGCCCCGTGAAAGAATCACTTCTGAGGTTCACATTGTCCCACTGGATCAGTTCCCTGAAATCCAGTGAATCCTAAGAATCAAAAATATATGGAAAGGCTTGGCACAGTAGCCTAGGGACTAAAGTCCTTGCCTAGCATGCACCATGATCCCATATCGGCGCCGGTTCTAATCCTAACAGCCCCGCTTCCCATCCAGCTCCCTGCCTGTGGCCTGGGAAAGCAGTTGGGAATGGCCCAGGCCTTGGGACACTGCACCCGTGTGGGAGACCCAGAAGAAGCTCCTACCTTCGGATCGGCTCAGCTCTGGCCGGTGCAGTCACTTGGGGAGTGAATTATCGGACAGAAGATCTTCCCCTCTGCCTCTCCTCCTCTCTGTATATCTGACTTTGCAATAACAATAAATCTTAAAAAAAAAAAAATGGGAAAACTATGCATGGATTTCAGTGTATTTGTGCCAAAATTAACATCTTAATTATTTTTCTTTAAATCTATTTATTTGAGAGGCAAAGAGACACAGAGAGGTAAACAGAGAAATCCCATATACTGCTTTACTCCCCCAGTGCCTAGAACCACTATACCAGGCAGGGTCAAAGCCAGGAGCTGTCAGGTCAGTCCAGGTGTGTGATGAAGATGACAGGAACTCAATCACTTAAGCCATCACTGCTGCCTCCTGTGGTCTACACTAGAAGAAAGCTGGAGAAAAAACCCAGGAACTTGGGGTCTGCCTCAGCATCCTTTTTTTAAAAAAAAATTATTTATTTTTTTATTACATTGCATCATGCGACACAGTTTCACAGGCCCTGGAATCCCCCCTCCCTCCCCAAAACCCTTCCCCTCCCCCATGGTGGATTCTTGTTGCATTACTACAGTTCAGATTCAGTTGAGATTCTTTCCTTGCAAGCATCTACAAAGCATAGAGTCCAGCATCTTATTGTCCAGATAAGTTCAGCAGTTTCTTGGGGAGACCGTCTCTGGTCTGAAGGTAGAGCCAACAGAGTATCATCCCAATCAATTAAAAACCCGAGATTACATCAGTAACAATTTATAACGTAATAGAATTAGTTGCCATGGCATTGTGTAACCAGCATGTTAAAAGAGAAAGAGAGAAAAAAATGAGTGCAAGTTCTGAACCACATCCTATGACTTTTACATTGACATTACAATTATTAGTTTATATACAATTGGGTTCTATATACCTTAAAATGGCTATAGATTACTATTCAGCTGTCTCATGTCTATTTTAATTTTAGTATTTAGCAGTTTATAGCGTTGAAGCATGGTTTTTCAGAACCTGGCTGTTTTTCAGGTAGTCTAACTCTATAACTCTAACAAGACATATGTCAACAGCTTAGGTGAACAGTTTTAGGAGGGGTGTGCAGAGAAATCCTCCATACCCTAGTGAGGAGTAACTAATCTGTGTGTTCCACCCAGTGAGGTATAGGTGCATCCTCACTGCCCATTTCCTGTTTCTAAGCTTTCCTTGTTGTTCTCTATCTATTCTAGGGTTTTGTTTGTTTGTTTATTTGTTTATTTGTTAATTTGTTTTGGGGGGGGTTCTGGAACAATCCTGATAATCATTACAAAAAGAGAGGGTGGGGACCCAAAGTCGAACCAGGCAAGAACCAGAGAAAGCTCCTCCCCCTAGTCCCGAAGGAAGTTTACGGTTTTGTTTCTGCGGACTGTTCAGTGCTCCTGGTTGTCATTCCGATGACCTTGGATCCTGCAAGGCACGGTATGGGCTTCTTCCATCCCATGTGGGAGAACCAAATGGAAATGGGTGACCTCAGAGTTCTCGGCCTCCGAAGGCACTCCAATTCCCTGTGGTCTCCTTGGCGGTTGGGATGTAGTCCTCGGAGCTTGTACTGACAGTCCTTGGTGAGGATCTAGGAGTCTTCAGGGTTGGGATACAAGCCTCCTCCTGTCTGCCTGCTCCACTCTGTCCTAGTTAACCTTGGACTGAATGCTTCCTAAGTGCTCGCCACTGCAAAAGTCACTGGACAGTCTTTATATGAGTCAAACAATCGATCTACGCATAGAAAGGGCTGTTCCTATGGACAGATGAGGACACTGGGGTAAAAAACTGACTGATGTATGCAGGGTCTGTATTAGGGCCACCTGCTATTATGTGCTGGAACCGGCGACCCCGCCCACCCCTGTCAGCATGGTTTCACCCCACCGACTCCTGATCCAGGTCCTTGGCTGGCTAGGCATCTGTCCATACAAGAGCCCTGGTGGTCATACCCCAAGGGCTACTCCCCACCCTTGACCCTTAAGGGAAAGAACTCAAAGGTAGGCACAACCTAAGTCCCAGGCTCAGAAACACCCTCTGGGGCTTCCTGTGAGGGTGCAGGGTCCCCAAGGCGCGGGCCTGGGACTGCCTGCATCACAACCATCGGATACCCTTGCTGAAAACGCAGACCTCCCCCGCCCCCCGCTCCCAGGCCATCAAAGAGGCCTCATGAAGTCTGAAAGCAGGTCGGAATCTGCCCATGGACCCCACTTTGAGAAAAATGGCCGAGGGGTTCAGGTTCCTCGCCCGGAGTAGCATGAAAGGGGAGCTGCTCCAGCCGGGGTGGCCCACGGCTCAGGGAACCTCAAATCGGCCCGAAGCCCGAGCCTGAGGTCCCCGGACCTTTTTCCTTGCGGCTCCCCGCCACCTCCCGGCCACCCGGCACCCTCCTCAGCACGAGCGGGGCGGGGCGGGGCGGCGGCGGGCTCCCCGACTGACCTGCGGACGGGCCGGCCCTCGGCGCCGCCGCCGGACGCCCCCGGACTTGACGCGGAAGTGAGCGCCAACCCGGCTGCGCGGCAATTCCGGGTTCAGAGCAGGCCCAGCGGCTCCCCCGTGCGGCCGGTCCTGGCAGCGACGGCGGCGCCAAGGGGAGCGAGGCCACGCCCACGCCACGCCCGGCCACGCCCCCGAGTTGGTCCCGCCCCGAAGGGGGATGAGCTGGTGGACGTGTCCTCCTATTCTCAGAGAGAAAGAAAAGGCCTGGCAAGCAGAGCTGGGGTTGCACCCTCGGAGAGACATCCATCCAGAGACTGCTTGTATAGAAGAAAAGAACAGATCACACAAGTTGTAACTCTTCAGGGTCAGTGCGAGGTTAGAATTGGGAAGTTAGGTGTCCTCACTTTCAATAGTGATCACGCCCTCCCTAGGAGAACCTCTGGACAGTGAGGCTTATTAAAATGCTGCTCTTGGAGAAATCCCTTTGGATACTGTTGGCGGTTCACAAAGTTGGTTCATATAGAACATTCCTGGTTAACGTGTGATACCAGAGCATGATGATACTTTGATTCCTGTTGTAGCAAAAAAAAAAAAAAAAAAGCTAAAGTGAGACCAAATGTGTATTCAGTGCTTTCATACACTTGAAACCTTGTCAAGTCCTTCGCATGACTGCTTATTTTTTTCTTAACAATAAGCCCCAAAAAAGTTCTTGCAAGTTTCAACTGCCCCCCGCCTTGTGGAGGGGAATTTTTGCTAGCTATTTCAAGAGGTGCAAAGTCCAGTCCTGTTTTCAAGGTGCTAGTCAAAACTAGTTGGTTCCTGGTTGCACTGCCAGTCTTAGAAGGGAAGAAGCCAAGGAGAAGTAAGCCCATCCACACCCTCTTGTGTTAACCAGCTTGGGAAGCAGGTAAGTCTGTGTTCATTGAGCTCCAGTTATAGACCACGTACTGAAAGTGAAGGATTGGACAGGACAATGTCACCGGGCCAGGCTTGATGACTCAGTGGCACTTGCTGGGACTCCATATGGGTACCAGCTGGTGTCCCAAGTGCTCCATTTCCCATCCAGCTGTATGTCTGTGGCCTCAGAAAGCAGTAGTGAGCACTTCAAAGCCTTGGTACCCTGCACCTGCCTGGGAGACCTGAAAGAAGCTCTTGGTTCCTGGCTTCAGACAAGCTCAACTCTAGCCATTGTAGCCACTTGTGAACCAGCGAAAGGAATATCTTTCCATTTCTCCTTCTCTCTGTTAACCTACCTTTCCAATAAAAATAAATGAAATCTTATGAAAGTGTCACTGAGACACACACCTTGTGCAGCAGTCAGAAAACCTGGTGTTTCGGTAGTTTAGGATTTGCATGCCATCAACAGCTGCTTCACTATGATATTGTGTGAAAGCTAGCATAATAGTACATAAATAAACAAGCAGTCCCACTTTCTTGCTGGTCACTGAAATTTGCATTTCTTACGATTTGCATGTGTCATGATCTCCCTTTTTCAAACTGTTCGATATACAAAAACTATTCTTAGAACATGAGCGTACAAAAACATAAATGACAATCTGTGTGCTTGCATATTTAACAAGGAGAAACAAACACTACATGAAATAGTTACAAAGAAAATGTGCTTGGCAGGGGGTGGGGGTCAGGGCAAAGTTGCAGGGAGCTGCTGTGCTGGGAGTAGATCCCTACTGATAACAGAGCCTTTCAGTTGAGAGCTTAGAATCAGAATGTATCCATCTTCTGAAGAGATAGAGTAAGAGTTTGCAGAAGGAAAAGCAAGCGGAAAGGGCCTGGGGCAAAAAGGATTGGAAATTTGTAGGAAGACAAAGCACATTAGTATGTCCGAAGTCTGTGGGCATTGGGAAAGCCTATCACATGGTGATTTGACATGAGACTGAAAAGAGAATGGATTTTAAAGCATCTTATAACTTTTATTTTAATATATTATTTTTAAATTTTAATATTTATTTCATTTTAATAGATTTTATTTTACATAAATATATTTTATTTTAATATATTTTAAAGAATGTATATTTATTAGAAAGGCAGAGTTTCAAAGAGGGAGGAGAGAAAGAGACCTTCCATTCACCCTCCAATGGCTACAACAGTCAGAGTTGAACCCATCCAAAGCCAGCAGCCAGGAGCTTCTTGTGGGTCTCTCACATGGGTGAGAGAGAGAATCTTTCACCTGCTGATTCACCATTCAAATAGCCACAATGGCCAAAGCTGGGCTGATTTGAAGTCAGGAGCCAGAAGCTTCTTCTGGATCTTCCACATGGATCCTAAGTATTTGAATCATCCTCTACTGCTTTCCCAGGTGCATCAAAAGGGAGCTGGATCAGAAGTTGAGCAGTGGAGACTGGAATTGGAGCCCACATGAGATGCCAGCACCACAGGGGTGGCTTTTCTCACTACACCAGTCCTTCCCCCTATCCACCCCAGCTCCAGGATATGTTAGAACTAGAAGGAAAACCATTTTTAGAGAAAGTTACGGTGAAAACAGGACCTCCGGGAATAGACAGGATTCAGTAAAAATAGGACCAGAAGTGGATTAACATTTAAAAGTGAATTTGAAGAGTTCAGAGAAGATGTTTGGGAATAATAGGAGTGGGGGATGGGTTCAGAGTAATGGCCATTCAAGCATGGGGAGATGTGTGACAGTGGACAACTTGCAGAATTGGTGCTATTGGAGTAATTGCAATAAACAGGAATCCTAGTGATCTATTAACACAAGGTTCAGGCCAAGGATAGATATATAACTGAATAACATTGGTTAATCCCACTCTCTCTCAATGGTGTAAGTTAGGTGGACTGGGAAAAGGCAAGAGCCTTATAGGGAACCACAGCATCAAGCAACCCTTTGAATAATTGCTCACTCTTGCAGCTGTGAACATAAAAAAACAATCCCACCTCTGATGTATGAGAGCTTGAAGAGAAGGAAGAGGAAGTACCATGCAGACTATAGCCTAAGCCACAGATCTCATCCAACCCCATACTGCTCTCCTCTTCTTGTTCGCCCTAAGGGGAGAAAGATAAAATCTTTTTATTATTGAACAGAAACAAATAATTTTGTAACTATCCCCTGGGGAAAGTGTCCCAACAATTCACAGATAAAGCCTTCTCTCAAACTCAGAATGAAGCGTGAGAATAAGAGTCTGGTTATTGTTTATTCACCAAACCTAGATGTGCTGGAATAGTTAAAACAAAACAAAACAAAACCTAGTGTGGAATTCATAAGCCCTCACTGGCAGAATAATTTGTGAACATCAGTGAAATAACATCACTGGGTACATAAATCTGAATCTCCTAATGCATTCTCCAAAATGATGACAGAGAATACAAAAAATAAATAATAAATAACAAATAAACTATATGGAACTCATGCTATCTGTGTAACTAAAAGAGATATCCAAACTTCACACCATCTATCAGTAGAAAATAAACACCAAATTCAGCAAGCCATGCTTAAGATCTTGCCTATGGTGGATATAATATAATCAGAAAATAACAGGTTGCTCACGCTACATGATAAAATACTGGGAAACAATATAGATGAGAGCTCTTGCTAAATATACTAACGTGTACACAACTATGGTGGCAATTTGTGGGATACGTTTCTTCTGGTAAGAGATAATTAAAACATATAAATGTGCTGTTTAGAGCTTGGGGAAGGGGAAAAGAAGTTAAAAGAAATGGTAAAATAGAGACAAAAGAGCTTCAGAGCAACCAACACACAGAAACATGCATATGCACGCAGGTGCACATATAAACATATGAATACAAGAACTTTAAGAAACAGTGTCTCATTGCAGAAGAAAGCACTCCAGATGTTGGAATGTTGTAAGCCATATCAAAACTTTGAAAGTAGCAGGTGAAGTTTCTCCAAAAAAAGGTAAGTGGACAAATTGGATCAATAGATTGATAGACTGACAGATAATAAGGCATTAGCTGACATGATTATAGAATTATGAAGTTCCATTACTTGCCATCAGTCACTGAGGAAACATAGTAATATAGCTCTGAGGTCATATAGCATATTGGTGCTGGATTGTGTCCCAGCTGTTCCACTTCCCATCCAGCTCCCTGCTTATGACCTGGGAAAGCAGCAGAGGATGACCAAAAGCCTTGGGACCCTGGGCCCATGTGGGAGACCTGGAAGAAGCTCCTGGCTCCTGGCTTTGTATCACCTCAGATCTAGCAGTTACAGCCATTTGGAAAGTGAACTGGTGGATGGAAAATCTCTCTCTCTCTCTTTAACTCTTTCAAATAAAAAATAACTCAAAAATCCATACAGAAATGAAGATCATGTTGTGAAATCTTCAGGGGACTATATAGTCAAATGAATTTGTAAAGATGAGCATTGAAAAATGCAGAAAAAGAAATAATAAAAATGAAGTGCAAAATGAAAAGTGACTGAGGTTCAGAAATACATGTTTTACCATTGCAAATCACAATGGATATGCAACAATTGTGAATTCTATTCACCAAGTAACTAAGTAACAAAACTTTGTAAAGCAAGAACTATATAGGACATGTAAAGAAATATTGATAAAAATATCTCTGAGACTCATTGGGGTTGCTCGCAGTTTCGGGGCTTGCTGTGTCTTCTTCCTAACGCACATGCCATCATGTCTATGGAACCCACAGTTGGCATCCATCTTGGCACCACTCACTCGTGCGTGGGTGTCTTCCAGCACAGCAAAGTGGAGATCAGGGCAATCGCACCACCTGGGGCTATGTCGCCTTTACTGACATGGAACGACTCACCGGTGACACTGCAAAGAATCAAGTAGTGATGAACCCCACCAACACGGTTTTTGATGCCAAACGACTGATTGGACGTAGAATCGTTGATGTTGTTGTTCACTCTGACACAAGGCCCTGACCCTTCATGGTGGTGAATGATGCCGGCAGGCCCAAGGTGCAGGTAGAATACAAGGGGGAGACGAGAGCTTCTGCCTGGAGGAGGTGTCCTCCATCATTCTGACCAAAATGAAGGAGATTGCGGAAGTCTACCTTGGCAAGACTGTTACCAACGCTGTGGTCACAGTGCCCACCTACTTCAACCACTCTCAGCGTCAGGCCACCAAAGACACTGCAACCATTGCTGGTCTCAATGTTCTTCGGATCTTCATCGAGCCAACTGCTGCTGCTATTGCTTATGGTCTGGACAAGAAGGTTGGGCCTGAAAGAAATGTGCTGATTTTTGACCTGGGAGGTGGCACTTTTGACGTGTCTATCCTCACAATTGAATCTGGAATCTCTGAGGTCAAGTCCGTAGCTGGAGACACCCATTTAGGTGGAGAAGAGTTTGACAACTGAATGGTCAACCATTTTATCACAGAGTTCAAGCACAAGCATAAGAAGGGCATCGGTGAGAACAAGAGAGCTGTCAGGTGCCTGCACGCTGCTTGTGAGCAGGCTTCCAGCATCCAGGCAAGCATTGAGATGGATTCTCTGTATGAAGGAGTCAACTTCTACACCTCCATGACCCGTACTCGATTTGAAGTGTTGAACGCTGACCTTTCCATGGCACCCTGGACCCCGTCGAGAAGGCCCTTTGAGATGCCAAGTTACACAAGTCACAGATCCATAATATTGTCCTGGTGGGTGGTTCCACCAGAATTCCCCTAATCCAGAAGCTGCTTCAGGACTTCTTCAGTGGGAAAGAGCTGAACAAGAGCATCAACCCTGATGAGGCTGTTGCCTATGGTGCAGCTGTGCAGGCAGCCATTCTGTCTGGAGACAAGTCTGAGAACGTTCAGGATCTGTTGCTGTTGTATGTCACTCCTCTTTCCCTTGGCATTGAGACTGTTGGTGAAGTCATGACCATGCTCATCCAGTGCAATACCACCATTCCCACTAAGCAGATGCAGACCTTCACCACCTACTCAGACAACCAACCTGGTATGCTCATTCAGTTCTATGAAGGTGAGCATGCTCTGACCAAGGATAACAATCTGTTTGGCAAGTTTGAACTCACAGGCATACCACCTGCACCCTGTGGCGTTCCTCGGATTGTAGTCACCTTTGATATTTATGCCAACGGCATCCTTAACGTCTCTGCTGTGGACAAGGGCACTAGGAAAGAGAATAGATCACCATCACTAATGACAAGGGTCGTTTGAGCAAGGAAGATATTGAGCAGATGGTACAGGAAGCTGTGAAGTACAAAGCTGAAGATGAGAAGCAGAGAGACAAGGTGTCTTCTAAGAATTCACTCGAGTCTTACTCATTCAACATGAAAGCAACTGTTGAAGATGAAAAACTTCAGTGCAAGATTAATGATGAGGACAAACAGAAGATTCTTGATAAATGTAATAAAATCATCAATTGGCTGGATAAGAACCAGACTGCAGAAAAGGAGGAATTCGAACATCAGCAGAAGGAGCTGGAGAAAGTCTGAAACCCCATCATCCCCAAGCTGTACCAGAGTCCAGGGGGCATGCCAGGAGGGATGCCAGGCGGCTTCCCTGGCAAAGGTGCTCCTCCTTCCCGGGGTGCTCCCTCAAGGCCCACCATTGAAGAAGTAGATTAAGTCAACCCTAGTGTAGATGCAGCATTGTTCCAGGCAGTAAACGATGGAAGGACCAAATTTGTAGCAAATTCTGGCAGTTTTAAAGTTTGGCTGCTATAGTAAATTACTAGGCATTCTCAATACTTGAATATGGAACATGTCCACAGGGAAAGGAAGTATCATTGCACTTTATATGCACTGTATTTAAGTGGAAAATGCAATGTCAAATAAAACTATTTAAAATTGGCACTGAAAAAAAAAAAAAACCTCTGAGAACTTTCGTAATTTCTTTCAGTACAAATGGACTCAGTAACTTTTTAAAAAAACACAACCAAAGAAATAAGCAGCTCTCAGTGGCATAAGCATAATGTAGATTTATGCATAGACTTGTTTTATACAATAACAGCAAAAATCACGTGCCTGCCTTGAAACAAAGTTATCAAGAGGAGTTCAAACCTTGTATGAAAAGATGTTAAAAGCATTAAACACGAAAAAACATTTCTTATCATCGTACAGATGCCTTTTCTCTGTGGTAAGCCCACATGCCACCTTGGTGTCTGGGTTCTGCTCCTGGATCTGGGACCAGATCCAGCTTCCCCCCATGCAGCCCCCGGGAGGCAGGGCTGACATCTGCAGTAACCGAGTTTCTGAGACCATGCACAGACCTGAATTGTTTCTCTGGCACCTGTACCAGCTGTTGAAGGTACCTGAGAAGTTCACCAATAGATAGGCTTTCTCTGTCTCTGTCTTTGTCTCAAATAGAGATCAAATACATTTTTAAAACACCAGCAAGCCTTGAAACGGAAATAGACTGGCTAATGTTGAAGTTCATATGGAAAAATATGCATGAACAAATAGCCAAGGAAACACTGAAAGGAAAATTTCATAAGCAAAGACTAGCCCGACCAGTCATTAACATAAACTGTAAATCTGTTTATCCACTGTGTCAAGTGCATGAATAGACAAACAGACCAGCAGAATGAAAGAGATAATCCCATAAATAGATTCAAATTCATTTGGCAATTTAGTGTATGTAATAAAGATGTTATCTCAAATCACTACGGAAAAGATAAGTATTTTCATAGATATTGTTTGGTCAACAAGTGTTCCGTTTGGCAAAGAACTCCAAACTCCGAACTCCGAACTCATACCACAACCAAGAACGAACTTCAAACGAACTAGGGATATAAATACCAGTTATGAAACTATAAATATTAAAATAAGCCATGTATGATTTTTTTCCTATAATTTAAGGCAGGAAAACTTTTTCTTGGGACTCAAAATAAAAATGTAGTAAGAAATAAAACAGACAAATTTCAAAGTGTTTTCAAGACTTTTGACTAGCAATAGTACCTAGAGACAAAAATCGTAAATTGGGGGGAAATATTTGCAACAAATAGTTCAGGTAAATAACATAAAAATTGAAGGGGAGACAGAGAACTTAGTAAACGTACAAAAAGTCAATGTTCACATATTATAACAAAATGCCATAGTCTCTGTGGATTAAACAACAAAAACGTATTTCTACTAATCCTAAAGTTCCAAAATCAAGGTGCCAAATTGGTTTCAGATTAGGGCACTGCTGCTGTTGGCATACAAACAGCTGCCTTCTGCTGTATTTTCATATAGCCTTAAGAAAGAGAAAAAGAGAGGAAGAAGCAGAGATAGAGAGAGAAAGCGAGAGAGAAAACAGGAACACAAGTACTCTTTCCCTTTATCTATGATGCTATAAATTGTATTTGTTAGGATCCAGATTTCGTGATCTCATTCAGCCTTAACTATTTTTTTAAATCAGATACAGAGAGGAGGAGAGGTAGAGAGGAAGATCTTCTGTCGGCTGATTCACTCCCCAAGTGGCTGCAATGGCTGGAGCCAAGCTGAACTGAAGTCAGGAGCTTCTTCCGGGTCTCCCACAAGGCTCTGGGCTGTCCCTGACTACTTTCCCAGATCACAAGCAGGGAGCTGGATGGGAAGCGGGGACGCCAGGATTAGAACTGACGCCATATGGGACACCAGCGCATGCAAGGTGAGGACTTTAGCTGCTAGGCTACTGTGCCAGACCCAACTTTCATCAATCTTAATGGGGGTCACAGTTTCATCACATTATTTTGGAAAGGGGGATACCACTTAATCCAGAATACATGTTTAGAGATATACACACATTTCTCATAAGTGAAGTGAAAATTAAATCTACATTATTTAATACACACACACTTCCCCTATCCCCTGAAGTATGGAAAAAAAAAAATCTGTGTTCAAAGTTAGCCACTGTAGAACTCCTCTGGTATCATTATAAACATGAGACCACCTTATATTGTTATCAATGAATATATCAGAGCTACTAGTGTCTAACAACTTGGACAGCAAGAACTTTCCTCTCTGTAATAATATGGGACCTAACATCTCTTAACAGTCCACCCTTTTCTTTTTCTAGATAATTTCTATCATTCGATAAAAGGTATACTCATTACACCTAAATATGGCTATTGTGATCCTTTATCACATAACTTAAGAAGGCCATAGTGATATGTGGGGCAGGCATATGGTATAGCAGGTAACTCACCCCTTGGTATGCCCACACTATCCTGCATTCAAATGCTTGGTTTCTATTCTGGTTACTCCACTTTGGATCCAGATTCCTGAAAATTCTCAGGCTGAGAAGAAGCTGTGAAGGTTCAAGGATTTGGGCCCCTGCAACTCACATGGGTACTGTGAATGGACTTCTGGGCTCCCGGCTTCATTCTGGTCCAGCACTGAATGCTATGGTAAGGAATCCGCAGCTGGAGGATTTCTCTCCATCTCTCTCTGCTTTTCTTTTCTTTTTTTTTTTTAAAGGATTTCTTTATTTTCATTTATCTCTCCTACAGAGAGAAGGAGAGACAGAGAAAAGTCTTCCACATCTGCTAGTTTATTCCCCAAGTGGACACAATAGCCGGAGCCGAGCTGATCTGAAGCCAAGGGCTTCTTCCGGGTCTCCCACAGGGGCCCAGATCCCAGGGCTTTGGGCCATCTTCTGCTGCTTTCCCAGGGCACAGGCAGGGAGCTGGATGGGAAGCAGAGCAGCTGGGACACAAACTGGCATCCATATGGGATGCCAGTACTTGGCAGTGAAGGATTAGCCAGTGGGGCTATCATGCTGGCTCTTCTCTCTTTCAAAATAAAAATAAACAAGTAACTTTAAAAAGATGATGTAGAAGATAAATGGATCTTCTGGGAATCACAAAAATGAGTAGTTGTCTTTTACGAGAAAAGGATTTCAGGTTTGCTTTAAGGGTGAACAGAGCAATGTTTTTGTTCTTTTACAGCTAACTGCTATGCCAACTATCTAGTTGTTTGTGGTTTCCTGCCTTGAGTGGGAAAAATCTGATTCAATGAGTTGATTTATTTGGGTTGTTTCAAGTTCATTATCTAAATTTTGCTTTCTGTTAGGAGGAATATATAATCTAGTGTAGTTATCTTTTCCTTCACAAATTCTGGAGTGCTTTGCTTGGCAGGCAACCCCTCTGGAAACCAGTGTTTTCTATTTCGTTCCATGATTAACTGCATCTTTGGAGGTCTAATCTCTCTGCTGGGAGAATTACAGCAGAGACTTCCAGGCACAAACTAATTATTCCCTTTCTTTCTGGAAGAGAAACTTTTATAGGAGATAAGGAAGTTGTGGGTCCTGTCTAAATAATGTTTCTGACCTTAATTTTTACTAAAATTAAAGTATCAAAAATGATTAATCATAGACATAAAACAGCAGTTAATAGTCTTACGTGTGCATGGACTTGAAAGCTCACAAGGTGCTTTAATTTGCAAACTTACCTGTGCTCATAACATCGGATCCTTCGTTCTTCTGCCTTTGACTTATCCCTTGTTCCAAACTCTAAATCCACAAAATATTGCTGTACCACTCCTTGGCTCTTTCCCAGAACATTTGCTTTTTCTCTCCACTAGTTCTTTTTTCCAAGCCATAAACAAACAAACAAAAATCTACAAACTCTCCCGGCAACCACCAAGAAATTTTTGCTCTCATCTCTGTATTTATTCTATTCTAAAAGAATGACTCCCCTTCTTCCAGACTCCATTTTTGTCCTTGCCAAGGACTTCCAGCAGCAACTAAAGGGCTCCACACAGAACCTGGCACTTGCTAAACGCCCTAACACTTTATCTGAGGCAGTTACAATGGTAACCTTCCCCTCACCAGGCACAGCAGGGAGTCTCACAGAAAGCAGTATTGAGAGGAAGCCGCCTAACAGTTCACCATGAGCCCCTGCCAATGCTTCTTCACTTTGTGAGACTAGGTAGGAAACAGAGATTGTCCTTCACTAAGAAGTTTTTAAATAAATAAAAGGCAGACACTCTTTTGCAGCTAGAACTTGCAGCATATATTTCAGGCTTGACTAGCTGGACACAGCCACCCCAGACTAGCCACAGGTACCAATAATGCCAAGCAGGGAACTGCAGCACAGCCATGCCCCCTTTTTTGCAGAGGTAACAGCTGCGGCATCCCGCCAGTGGCATCCAGTGGTTAGCTGTGCAAGATCAACAGCTGCTTCACAGGGCTGTTTGGGCAGCACAACTGTGGTCCTTTGCTGGTTGCCAAGGACCCCTTGTTTTCCAAGCCTTAATCTGCAGCCTTTCCTCAAATGCCTTAACCACCTGAGGCTTTTTTGTTTGTTTTGTTTTTGTTTTTATTTCCCCCTGCTTCCATGAGCATGGGTTAGTTTTTGTTGGTCCAATTTAACCTGCAGTTTGGTACAGATGACCAAATTCCTGACAGTTTAACAAAGTGTGTGCACATTATTTGTTCTTTGTTTTACTGCCTCTTTGCAGTGCCTTTTACTTGGGATGTTTTTCCTTTGGTATTCTTATTTCAATAACAGTGATCTACTAAAGAAGATTTTAATATTGATGTTGGTGTTTTACATCTGCCACCTCCATGACCTTTTCTCCCTCTTCTCTCTCTCCCCTCTCTCTCTTTTTTAAAGGTTTATTAACTATTTAATTTTATTTGAAAGACACATTTTTACAGAGAGAGAGGAGAGAGAAATCTTGCATCTGCTGGCTCATTCCTCACAACGGAGCTGAGCCAGGAGCCAGGGACTTCTTCAGGGTCTGCCATGTGGGTGCAGGGGCCTAAGGATTAGGCCATCCTCTGCTGCTTTCCCAGGACATACGCAGAGAGCTTGGGCTCGAAGGGGACGGACAGGACATGAACAGGAGCCTAGATGGGATGCCATCGTTGCAGGCAGAAACTTCAGTTTGCTACTCCACGGCAAAAGCCTTCCCAGGTAACCAGAAACTTCTATAGGTAGGATATTACATTCTAAACAATTATCAATGAAGTTTCAATGCCCCCTGTTTCATAATTTTAGCAAGTGGTCAGTCATTAAATACTTTCCTACTTACACAAGCTTTACACCAGATGTGTCTTAATACCAGTCTTGCAATGTATCAGAATATCAGGCCTTAACTCAAAAGCATATCTTGCATCATTTGTAGGTTATTAGAAGATGGAAATATGTGATTCTCAAACATCCCAAAAGAACAAAAGATAGACAAGAACATGAAGCTGACTGTATTACTGTATACCCAGCCATTAAAGTACAGATTTAAGAAGCTATTTTCATTTTCAGCCTGTGACAGAGAGGAAGTTCTCCTGTCTGTATAACTTCTACAGATTTTTTCGTTATCGGCCACAGTGAGACGAGTTACCCACATCTGCCCTGTGTGGGTACCCAGCTGCTCCACTGACCCAGCTCCCTGCTAACGGCCAGTGAGGAACAGCAGCAGACCAGGTACTGGGACCGCTGGCACCTACCTGGGCACCAGGACAAAGCTCCAGGCTTCCTTTTGGCCAGATGGGGAGTGAATCAGTAAAATAAAGATCGTGTGAGTAAAGGAAACTAAGTGAACTTAATTGGAAAATAAAGCGGAATATTTTTAATGTTGTGGGATATAACAGAAAATGGCATTCTTGTATATTCAACCTAATAAAGGCCCACGAGTACAAGATCAAAATACTAATAAGATCCAGGTTTGCCAATAAAATGTCACGGCTGTTTTTTCCTTCAGAACCTTAAACAAAAAATGGGAAAGGTTTTTAAGCGAATATTACATAAAGGTGTTGGCATCCCAATTAAGAATAAGATGCAGTCGGGTCGTCTCCAAAATCAACATCAACTTTCCAACAAATCTGTGGAAGTCACGACTTCCGGAGTTCTTCAGGACGCAGCGGAAAGCCCCACGCCCCGAGTCGCCGGCACGCCCCTTTCACGTCGCTAGCTCGAACCTCGGCGCGTCTGGCCACACCCCCGCCTGCTCGGGCAACGTGTCCCGCCCCTTCCACCTCCTTCTTCCTGGTGAGCACGCCTCTTGACGCCGTCTCCTCGGAATCTGATTGGCTGAAGAGGCAACCGCTAACGGCCGCGGCGTTTAAACACAGTCCTGGTGCGACTCCGCGCCCACGTCCCGGAACTAGATTGTGTTTCCCTATGCTGATCGCGCGGTGAGCCGGTGAGTGACTGTGACACCTGGCGTGACGGTTCTGGATCTGGCGGGGCCGGTGCCTGCCTCCTGCCCGGCGCTGTCTGGCTTCGCCGCCTGGACTGCCTTCGGGCGGGCTTCCCGGGCACGGTCCCCGGCTCGGAGGGCTTGCGGGGTTGTTTGGAGTTCTAAGAGTGGCTGCCTCTGGTGCAGGTGGGCGAGGGACGGAAGAGACTTGGGTTTCTTCGCGCTGCCTCTGGGACGGTTTCCAGCTCCCTGGGGGGAGACAGGCGGAGGGCGCAGGGGTGAGGGAACACAGATGGGAGAACTATGAACTGAGTCCTCCTCTCAGCGGACCGGTAGGACTTTTGGTACAGAAGAGGGGCGACGGCTTTTCGAGATGAGGAATCTTAATTGAGGAACATTGGGTGTGGACCTTAATGTGTGTGAGATGGAGTACTTTTCCTGGAGTGTCTGCGTTTCTGCGTTCTGCTGTGTAGGGAACAGTAATTGTCAGTTTCAAGTCTCTTGTGAAACTTTCAGCAGAAGTATTGAGCCTTAATGTTCACAGACTGCCAGCTCAGTTTCGTTCCCATGGCACACACTTCTCAAACGGGCATTGCATTGTTTGTTTGATACCTCCCAACAGTGTCAGAAGATACTCCAAGGTGGGGCAGTTATTACAGCTAGGAAAAAAAAAAAACAAAAAACGGAAAAGGCTTAAGAATAATCAGACAGGCTATGGAGAGGAGTTATAGTTTTAATGACCTTGGTAAAAAGGTGGTATTTGAACAGTCAGAGGAGGCAGTGAAGGAGCCATTGAAAGAGATATTGAAACAGGGAACAGCTAACCTAAAGAACTTGAGCTGACGTACCAGGAGCGGTTAGATCTTGGTGGCTAAGATCCAAGGACTTTGGAGAGAAGTGGGAATTATTGGAGGGTGTTAGATTGCGCACACTGATCCACTGCAGGGAGGAGGGAGACTAGAGGCTGCTGGAATAATTGAGGTGAAGCAGGAGAGTGCTTTGGACTAGGTTGGTCGCCCTAGACAGACCAAGAAGTAGTCAGATTCAGAATATATTGTGAGTGTGAATTGGGTTGTCAGAGCTTTTTAGATGAGGCAGCTGGTAGGACAGAGTGAACTGAAATGGGAAAGACTTGGAGGGAGGCAGGTCAAATTTGGTAACACTTATTCTGGGTATTCAAGTGGGTTCTGGAATAGCTGCTGCCTGTACAAATCCAGGGAAGTTCCAAAGAGAGGGGGATACAAGCCACCCATTTAGAAGTACTTGGTGTCAGTATGGTGTTTCAGGCCAAGAGGCTGAAGTAATGCTGGACCGCCACTAAGGGAAGAAGTCCAAGGAATGAACCATGGGTAGAACCTGTAAGACTGAGAAAGACTGAGAAAGAGCAGTCATGCAAAAAAACCAAACAAACCAGGAGTATGGTGTTCTGGAAGCCAAGAAAAGACCATTTCTGAGGCAGAGGAAACTAGGCATGTTAAAGGCTACTGACAGATCAAGTTAGAGTTGATCATTAGAGTTTAGCAGTAGAGGTGCCAGGGGACGTTGGCAGAAGGGTCTTGGTTGGTACAGTCAGAGTGAAAGCCTGCCTGCAGTGAGTGGATGGGACTGTTGGGAACTGAATACATGTAAGGTTTGCCAAGAGCTGGAGCACCAGTCTGTGGTCAAGAGGGAACAGAGAGATTTCTGTAACAGATCAGGAATGTCTTAGCTCACAGGGCGTATAAAGCGGGCAAAATCTTCTGGTCAGGTCCAAGGCAACCCCAAACAGAACTGAAAAGTCATGACGTCTATAGTGAGCTGATATTTGAAGCTGATAATTTTATATGGGCTGCAGATCACGTTAGAAATATCCAATGACCCTTGGAAGGAAAATGATTCCTTGCCCCTGCTTGGAGTGAGGAATACAGCAGTGTGCTTGTATGCAGACAGGAACGATGTGCTAGAGAAGGAGCTGATACAGAGTATAGTGGGAAGGGTGTTTTGGGAAGGCCAGATGGTATGAGTCCTGGTGTGAGCATCTGAATATAAACGTGGCCATCGGTGGGAACACAGATCATTCATCTGTATCCACAGGAGAGAGGATACCTGCACAGCCACAAGTAGTGATGGGAAGTTTTGAGAAATCCTTTGCAGGTTACTTCAGTGTTCTCTTAGAGAACAAAAATGAGCCAGGATATTATCAGCTGATAAGGAGGAGTGTCTGCTGTCACCTGCAAGGGTAGTGTGCTATGGCTGCATAACTCCAGTCTCTGCTCTGACCTATAAGGGTGCTGTGATGATGGTCTTTAGGAATTGCCTCCCTCATCCAGGGGAACCTGCCACTGTAAGATTTTCAGTTTAATCAAATCTGCAAAGGTTTGAATGAAACATCATTTGCCTTTTTCAGTACCTTAAACTATCTTTGATTAAATTAAATCTCTCCATGTGTGTTTGTGTGTGCAGAGTTTTGCAAACATTACAAGGAAAGTATATTTTAAGGTATGATGATTATTTAAGGGTTATCTGTTGATTACTGTTTTAGTTCCATTAATCAATACTGTGATCTCTCCTTTTTGTTCACCCTCTTGTTTGTTCTTTTTTTTCCCTTTACCTTCAGCAATGGAGTCCTCAGTCTTGGAAACTGATTCAGTTATTTCAAGAACAAAGAGGCATGTAAGAGACAGAAGAATTTCAAAGACTGCAAAACTGAATGTTTCTCTCGCTTCAAAAATCAAAACAAAAATAATAAGTAAGTGTTATCAGTTTTACTTTTTTCCCAGAGTACTGATATATTTGTATCTTATTTTATCAAGTATAGGACATTACTAAAATGAGATTTTTTGCTCATAATGCCTTTCTTGCACTTGATTCTGTGTGCTTCAACTGACTGAATTATTTTAGTGGCTTACCTTGGATAGCTGAATTTTCAACCGTGAGACTGGGATGGCCCAAGATAGTAACTCCTACATGGCAAAGAAAATACGAATGTGGCTTTCTACAGAAGAGAGCGACAAAGAGTAACAGATTGTTCTGGCGTGTTATAGCAGTTGGTTGATGGGTAATCATTAGCATGTATGGGTGATTATATGGCCTAAATTTATTATGAGAACAAGGGACGCTTTGATGGGATTTTATGAATTCTGGAATTAGGTATCAGGGTAAGAAAAGAATATGGGAGAACTCCCCAAGACAGTTTCTCATTACTTCTGAAAATAATTTGCTTTAGCAAGGGAAATATCCTTGTAGTCACATTTCTTGCTGTTAGCATCTTTGAAGGACAGGTGTGTTTAATGAGATAGCTGAACATCCTGTCTACTTGTAAGTCTTGTTTCTCCTACTCAGGCTTCTAGGGCCATATTATATATTAGACCACCTTCTACAGTGGCTCTCTTGGCAGAACATTATATTTAATTAATTTATTTGAAAGACGTAGAGATCTCCCATCTGCTGGTTCACCCCCAAGTATTACAGCAGTGCGGGTAGGGCCAGGCCAAAATCCAGGAGCCAGGACCTCTACCCAGCTCTCTAAAGCGGGTCACAAGGACCCAGTGACCTTAGCCGTTGCATCTGCTGTTTCCTGTGGTGCACCTTAGCAGGAAACTAGAGCCAGCGCAGGTCTGGAATTCAGACCCAAGAACCCCAGGGTAAGATATAGTTGTGCCAAGCAGTGTCTCAACCACTGTGCTACACACCTGCCTAGGAGGACTTCTGGACATTCACTGTCATGAAGGAATTTGCCGAGTTTGAGAAATGCAAGAATGAAATGTTAGGGAATCCTAAATTTGTTCTGGCCTTTTTTTAATTGGTTGTATCAGGGAAGACTGTCTGAAAATGGTGGCTGAGCTAAAGATAATATACATTAATGGGCCCTGATTTTTAGACACAAAAGCTTCCCCTAAATAGCTAAAACATATTTGTAACAAAATAATCCTACATATATCATCCTCTAAAATATATATTGTTGTTTTACTCAGTGAAATATGTTGCTGAATAGTGGCACATAGTAAAAATTATAATAATGCTTTATGTGTACCAAGAGAATGTAGTATTTAAAGTTAGCATTGTTGTTTATTTGTTGTCAACAATGAAGATTCAAAAGCAGTTTAAATTGTATTTATGCAGTACTTTTAAGGAGAAGGGGTCAAGTTGATGATTGTAATAGAATAGATGGCTATAAGGACTGGCATTGTGGCATAGTAGCTTAAGCTACCACCTGCCATGCTGGCATCCTATATCCAAGTCTCAGTTCAAGTGCTAGCTGCTTGATTCCTGGTCCATATTTCTGGTAATGCACCTGGGTCCGAGAGGATCTTTCAATGAAGGTACAAGGTTCCACAGGATTTAGATGATTGGTCCAACATTATAGTAATAGGCCTGAGGTTTAAAAAATGGATTTTGGATTGCTTCTCGGCTTTTTTGGCTAAGATGAAGTGTAAAAAATGGACTTTGGGATCATTAACTGTTTTGTTAACTTCTGGAATCACAGAAACTGGTTTTAAAATTTTTATAGATTAGCTACCCTAATTCCCATGGGATGTCAGTAGAGCTGCAGGATCAACTTTTGTATTCTGTTGCCTGGTCACATTAAGAAGCAAGGTAGGACTAACACATTTCAAGAGTTTTTGTGACTGATTTCGTTATCTGAGGTATGGTACTTAAGCTGCAGTCTTCCTATTCTATACACATTCTGCATTCCTCAAAACTTACTCTTCCCCTTCTGTCTAGCCTTTATATCTTTAAGTCTAAATTTGGGGTATTATTTTTTCAAAACTACTTTTGTGTTCTCTTACTGCCTTTTAACAGTTAAAATTTATAAAATGTAATGTTTTTTCCAAAATAGCTTTACTAAGGAATGTGACAATTGAGTAAACTGTGTTTTTTTTTTAATCTTTTTACAGATAATTCTTCTATTTTCAAGATTTCTCTAAAGCACAACAACAGGGCATTAGCTCAGGCTCTTAGTAGAGAGAAAGAGAATTCTCGAAGAATTACAACTGAAAAGATGATATTGCAAAAAGAAGTGGAGAAACTGAATTTTGAGAATATGTTTCTTCGTCACAAGCTAAATAACTTGGTATGGAAACTGTTGGTTCTGAATTTTAAATTATAGCTAAAATGCTTTTACTATATTATTATAAAAGCTTTAAAAATGTTTTTTCGGTTTCAAATTGTCCTAAAGAGTTATTGAAGCTCATTATTCATCTCTATAAACCTTGACTCTTTCACCAGGTAAAGAGGTTGCTATTTTTCTGTTTCCAAATTCATTGAGAAATCAGAATCTCATGTAAATCTGTTAAGGGCAAATAGCTAATGTGGGATGAGGTAGTTATCTTAACTCTGCTTTCCAGTGTGTGTTCGTGTATTGTGCAAACCAGTAAAATAGCTTGATTCACATTTGATTTCTTGCCAGAGACAAAGTTTGTTTCATTAATAAACTTTTAAAAGATACGCATAATTCTCCCAGTGAACAGAAAGCAGGGAATTCCCGAGTGTTTGTATTTTCTTTAATCTCAACATTTCTTGGGCTGCAAACCAAATGAAATGGTGCTTGTAGTCATTATTCTTCCTTCCAAATTTCAATTCTGCATGTAGGCAGGGCAGTGAGAACCAATGATGAGCTAAGTGGTAACTGCAGAGCTCATTCTGAATGGAAAAGCACTTAAAACAGAAAAATGACCATTCTACTTGAAGGTCTACTTCCTATGGCTGACCAACTGTGTTTACTTGCCGTGTAATGTACTGTTATAAGAAGCAGAAAAATGAGATTTGTAATTGATGGATCAAACACATGCAAAATGTCTTGTGTTTGTTTTTATACATGGTTATTGGACTGTAGTGGTATACCTTTTTAGATCAGTGTCATCTTGACTAGAAAATAGAAACTTCTCACAATGATGGTATTCATGAATGCATGGTATTATAATAAACAAACCTTAACTCACTGAAAAAAATCTTTATTTTATATATTCAGAATAAGAAGCTTATAGAAATAGAAGCACTCATGAACAACAACTTAATCACTGCGATTGAAATGAGCAGTCTTTCTGAGGTATGTAGAATTTATGTGTAAATCTTGTCCTTTCTTTAGTGTTACCTAGGATGATTGAGCTTATTTAAATATTATTCAGGCTAGGATTCTAAATTTTGGGGCTGAGCGTGATGGCTCATTGGCTAAAGACTTGCCTTGTACACGCTGGGATCCCATATGGATGCTGGTTTGTGTCCTGGCTGCTGTACTTCCCACCCAGCCTCCTGCTTGTGGCCTGGGAAAGCAAAAGAGGATGATCCAAAGCATTGGGATCCTGCACCCCCATGGGAGACCCTGAGTAAGCTCCTGGCTCCTGGTTTAGGATCAGCTCAGCTCCAGCCGTTGTGGCCATTTGGGGAGTGAACCAGCATACGGAGGATACTCCTTCTTTCCATAAATCTGATCTTCCTTTCTAATATAAATAAATAAAATCTTTATTTAAAAATCCAAATTTTTGCAAAGAAACCATGATAATCTTAACTGGCTAACAGCGCATTGTTTTATATGGTTATGAAATTATTATGCAAAAGTTAAGCTTTTATTGAAAGTGAAAGGATTAAATAGCTCAGAAACACACAGGGAGAAAGGCAACATTTCAAATTAGGGAAGAATTTTTGTTAGTTTGAAAAAAAAGGGTACAATCTAAAAACTGTCTTGAGGGGAAGTAGATGCTACTTTATACCATTCTAGATGAATTTGAATGTAATAAAAGGAAGTTATTAAAAAGAAGTGAAGAGGGGCCAGCACAGTGGTGCAGCATGCTAATCCTCCTCCCTGTGGGACTGGCATCCTTATGGGTGCTGGTTCATGTCTACTCAGCAGCGTTCACTATCTGATGGATAGACTTCTGTGATAAAGTTTTAACATCCCGTTCTTTTTAGTGGTTGTTGAGGGAGAGAGTGGAAGGTTAAACAGACACAGTTGTTAGAACAATACAAAAAGTATAAAATGAAATCTTAAATCTATCTCTGTTTCATCTCTAACTGTATTCTTTTTCCTGCTCTCACCTCATTGCAGGTATCTACTTTTGTTTATATAATAACAAATACAAAAATTTTTTTACGCAGTAGGTAGCATAGTATTTTATATAATAGCGTATAACATACTGTACTAACTGTTCTTGGCCTTTTTTTTTTTCTGTGGTGTATCTTAGGATTCTCTCCTAATGATTACGTGGAGTAAGTACTTCTTTCTTATTTAGTACTGTTTAGGGAATCTGGAATGGACTTTTTTTTTTTTAAATTGGAAAGTCAGATATGCATAGAGGAGGAGAGACAGAGAAGATCTTCTGTCTGAAGATTTGCTTCCCAAGCAGTGGTTGGAGCTGCACTAATCCGAAGCCAGGAGCCCAGAGTTGGAGCCTCTTCTGGGTCTCCCACATAGGTACAGCGTTCCAAGGCTTTGGATAGTCCTCAACTGCTCTCCCAGGCCACAAGCAGGGTGTTGGATGGGAAGTGGGACCATTGGAATATGAACCGGTGCCCATATGGGATCCTAACATGTGCAGGCCCAGGACTTTAGCCAGTTGGCTACTGTGCAGGGCCCATGGAATGAACTTCTAATGTACTTCCTAGGCTCCTAATTGGGACACTTGGATTGTTTCTTGCTGTTGGCTTGCCAGCATTGTAAATGCTTTTCTTTCTTGCATCATTAGTTTTTTTCCCTTCCTTCTTAATTATGCATAACAAAATCTAAGGAGTTCTTAACTTCATCTTCTAGTTACTTGCTTGAATCTTTCCTTTCCGTAAGAGAATCCTTTCAGAGCAGCTTATGTTGTTTCCAATTCCTCTTGAACCTGATTAACTTGATTTTCACCACCACTGATGTCCATGTTGTAAAACCCACGGATAATTCTTTTTTCATCTTGACCTTCATGTGACTTTTAGGATCCTATACTCTTCCAGGTCTCTTCCTATTTGGCTGGCTATTTCTTTTTCAACTTGTTTTCTAGATTTTCTTTATTTTCATGACTGCCAAATTTTAGGAGTGCCCTTGGGACTAAGTTCTTAGACTGCTCCCCCTTAAAACTGCCTGTTTGACAATTTATTTATTTGAAAGGCAGAGTTACAGAGAGAAAAAAGAAGATGAGAGCTTCCATCTGCTGATTCACTCTCCAAAAGACCATGATAGCTGCTGGGTTGGTCCAAAGACAGGAGCCAGGAACTTCATCCAGGTATCCCATGAGGATGCAGGGGCTCAAGTTCTTGTTCTTAGGCCATACTTTGCTGCTTTTCCAGGCCATAAGATGGATTGGAAGAAGTAGTAGCAGGGACTCCCACTAGCACCCATGTGAGATGCTGGCACTGTAGGCACTAGGTTTACGCTCTATACCCAGTGCTAGCTCCAGACTTCTCTTTTCTGTCTATATTCTTTCCTCTTAAATCATTTCAACATATCACATAGTTTTTATTGTTCCTGTATACTGACAGCTTTTGAACTTGTGTCTCCAGTGTAGTCATCTTTGAACTTCAAACACTGCTAAACACCACTTTATTATATTTGAGAGGCATCTCATCCACACTTGCCACCAAACCAGGTCCCTTGAGGTCTTCATCTGAGGTATTACGATTTTATCCCTGATCTTTTAACAGATCCTTTTAGCTCAGCCTTCAAAATCAGTCTGGAATTTTTGCTACTATTCACAACCATTTTTTACTATCCGTGAACAAAGCACTGCTATCTCATATATAAATATTGTAGTAGCATCCTCACTTAGGCTTCTCTCCTCATCAGCCTGAATGCAATTCTTAGCATAGCAGCCAGAGCCATCCAAGATGGCTCTCAAGATTTTTCTAGAGGCCTCTCATCTCTTTTGCCTGATTGGACCCAGAAACTCACAGTCTTGGTTATTTCTCTTTTTTTCTACTGTCTCTTTCCTCTCAGTCTTACTTTTTTAGTACAGAAACCTCTCCCCACTCCCTGAAACAGATACTTGTTTTTCCTTCATGTGTGAGTTCCCTACTTGTCTCAAATGTTGTTTCAAAAGTCACTTCCGTAAACCCTTCCTGAGCAACTCTTGTGTAAATTTATACACTTTGCAGCCATCCCTGCATTTCATGTCCAAACCTTCCTTCCTTATTACCTAATACTGTACAGTATAACTTTACTTAATAATATTTGTTTATGCCACCAGAATATAAGTTTTTGAGCGTAAAGATTTTTACCTATACTAGTACAATGTCTGGAACATATTAAATGGAATGTTTTATTTTATATTATTTTATTAAAGATTTGTTTATTTTATTGGAAAGTTGGATATACAAAGAGGAGGAGAGACAGAGAGTAAGATCTTCCATCCACTGGTTCACTGTGTAAATGGCCACAGTGGCCAGAGCTGAGCTGATCCGAAGCCAGGAGCCCGGAGCTTCTTCCGGGTCTCGCATGCAGGTGCAGCGTCCCAAGGCTTTGGAAACAGGTACCCATCTGGGATCACAGTGTATGCAAGGTGAGGACTTTAGCCACTGTGCCAGGCCCAAGTGGAATTTTTAAAAATAAAATGTTTAGTAGTTTTTTTCTCATTAAAAACCAAGTTTTCTTTTTTTCAAAAGAGTGAGGTACGTAGTTTCCCACAATTTCTCTGCTTATTGAGCTCTCTAAATGAAAGTAATGCTCAATAATGTAAAATGCCCTTTTAGCATGATCATAATTAAATGGTCTTTTTTTTAAAGGTATGTTAATTACTTATTTGAGGAACTTTAAATCTTGCATTTATGGAAAAAAGCTTCAAAGCTGTTTTTTTTGTGTGCTGCTGAATTCTTGTTTCTTCATTTACTTAAAGATTTATTTATCTGAAAGATGCATAGAGAGGAAGAAACAGAAAGAAAGAAGAATATCTTCTGTTTGATGGTTCATGGCCAGGGCTAGACAAGGTGGAGGCCAGGATTCTAGAGCTTCATACAGGTTTCCTGGTGGGTAACAGGAGCACAAGTCCTTAGGCCATTCTACTGACTTCCCAGCTGATTAGTAGAAAGCTGAATTGGAGGTGTTGGAGATGTAACAGTTGGGATTTAGCCTGATATTGCTGTTGTCACAGAAGGGAACTTAACATGGTACACTGCCATACTGGTCCAAAGTTCTTTTTTTTTTTTTTTATTGATTACATTGCATTATATGACACAGTTTTATAGGCTCTGGAATTCCCCCCTCCCTCCCCAAAACCCTTCCCCTCCCCCATGGTGGATTCTTGTTGCATTACTACAGTTCAGATTCAGTTGAGATTCTTTCCGTACAAGCATCTACAAAGCATAGAGTCCAGCATCTTATTGTCCAGATAAGTTCAGCAGTTTCTTGGGGAGACCGTCTCTGGTCTGAAGGTAGAGCCGACAGAGTATCATCCCAATCAATCAAAAACCCCGAGATTACATCAGTAACAATTTATAACATAATAGAATTAGTTGACATGGTATTGTGTAACCAGCATGTTAAAAGAGAGAGAGAGAGAGAAAAAAAAAGTGCAAGTTCTGAACCACATCCTATGACTTACATTGCAAAATTATTTTTGTTTAAAGGATCTGCTAAGGAAATTGTCTTAATCAACTGATTGATTAATTTTTGTGACTTTTTTTTCCCCTTGGATAATCCAGGTTTTTATTTTTAAAATTTGAATTAATTTAATTTAAGAAGCAAAGAGAGCTTCCTCCTCCTGTTTAACTCCCCAAATGCTATGCAGTATCTGGGCCAGGTCAAGGCTGAAGCTAGGACCCAAGAACTTCATCCAGGTCCCTCCTGAAGGTGGCAGAAGCCACCTGGGGAGCTGGAGGTCAGAATTGAGCACACACACTCTGATGTGGAACATGGGCATGAGTGTTTTAACTGCTAAGCCAAACAACCTTCCCATACATTCAGGTATTGATTTGCCCAGAATTGACTAATTTGTGGTTAATTTTTTTAAAAAAAATTTACATTTTTGTCTGAGTCGTATTTCCCGAGTTGAATTTAATTTTTAGTTTTACTGTTTTGTGTGTTTACTGTTTTTGTGTTTCAAGCTTACTAATTTTTTATTTTACCTTTAATATGTTTTCTTCTGCTTTATGAAATCCATACATATAAGGATTTTCAAATTGTTTGTGGAAAATGCCTATTATTATGAACAAATTAGGCATGTAATTCAATTTTTTTGAACCAAAATTAATTTTTTGAAAGATACTTGTTTTTTTTTTTAATTGGAAAAGCAGATTTACAGAGAAAAATGATAAAGGAAAGATCTTTCATCTGCTAGTTTTACTCTCCAGATGACCACAACTCCCAGCGCTGAAGCAATCAGAAGCCAAGAATCAGGAGCTTCTTCCAGGTCTCCCACATGGGTGCAGGGTCCCGAGGACCAGGCCCTTCTCTGCTGCTTTCCCAGACCATAAGCAGGGATGGGAACTGGAGCAGCTGGGACATAAATCGGCACCCATATAGGATTGCTGGCACTGGAAGGTAGAGAATTTACTTATTGAGCCATGGTGCCAGCTCCCCAAAATTAATTAAAAAATTTTTTTTAAATTTATTTGAAAGTTAGAATTATACATAGAGAGGGAATGATAGGAAGAGAGAGATCTTTCATCCCCTGGCTCAACTCTCTCCCACCCCCGAGATGGACACAATGGCTAGCTCTGGGTCAGGCTGAAACCAGGAGCAGCCAGGGCTTCTTCCAGATCTGCTGTGTAAATGACAGGGATCCAAGTTCTTGTGCCATCCTCCACAGCTTTCTCAGGCCATCAGCAGTTTGCTGAATGGGAAATGGAGCAGCTAGGAAATGGAATGCTATCCAAACTGGATGCCAGTGTTGCAGGTAGTGGTTTTACTTGCAATGCCACAATACCAGCCTCCAAAATTGACTTTTTAATTCTGTTTTCCATTAACCTAACTGTTATCTATTGTTATTGGTTTCCTTGTATGACAAAAAATATGATTTGAGGAAGTTAGAAGCCTTATTTCCTTTCTTTTTTTCTTCTTTTCCAAATAGTTCCACCAGAGTCCTTTTTCACTGCCAGCTAGCAAGAAGAAACAAATTAGTAAGCAGTCCAAGTTGATGCGTCTTCCGTTTGCAAGGTAATTGCTTTAAAATGTGGTTAAATATTGACTTGTAAACATCTACCGTGGAAGAAGGTATATTGGGCTTTGAATAGCTTTTATTTTCTCTGCTTACTTGAAACATACAGAAGCATTTCAACATAAATAATGAAATTTATTTTCAGCATTGCACCTTTCAACATTGCATTATTAACGTTGCATCTGTAGAATGTGATAAGTACATTATGCTAATATGAAGTGTTAACAGGGAAGCTTGGTGTGGTTTATTGATTATGACAAGTGCGTCACACTTGTGTGTTAATATTAAGGTAAGCAATGTAGGCTATATGGGAACTTTTTTATAGTACTGTTGGTGGGATGGAATAGAAATTCTTGTCTTTTTGCATGAAAAAATTCAAGTGTGAGACTGAGTAGTAGTAAGCAAAGTAGGTAGCAAGAATCCTTAGATAATCCGGGTTTAGTGTGTAAGACATGTGTTAGAGCACATGGGCACCTTTATAGGTGGATTCTCAAGAACGGTACCTTCCCATTCAGACTGAAGTAAGCAGGATTCGTTAGTTTGATGAAGAGAACATCCCTGGCAAAGCAGGCAGGTATCTCAGCAAAGAACTGAGAACTGAGCTAAGAAAAATCCCCTTGACAGGTGAGTGTCTCAGGAGAGAGCTGAGTACTCAGAGCTGGCCAAAGAAGTCATCTCAGGGACAGGCTGAGAACACAGGCCAGGCCCAGAATGGAGCTCCTAAGAAAATGGAGTCTACTTCTTCCTTCCTTTTTTCTTTTTCTTATTATTATATTTTTGACAATCTTTACATAGTTAATTAGGGTAAAAAGGTTCCAGGGCTATAGGAAAGTGGGCACGACTATTATTTCCATATTGTTTCCTTCATGTTTAAAGGGGGGTATTAAGGGAGAAGACCCACCCAATTTCCCACCCTCCCCAGGTCCCGCATGTAGGGTATGCTCTGAGGTTCTTGCTCAAGTGGTTTTGATAGTTCACCGGTTATAAATTGCTGCCAATATTGCCACTTCAAGCACTATGAGGTCTTTGAAGAATCCATTGGTTGACATAGTCCATTATAGAGTCTCCGTTTGCCCTGTATTTCGCTGCCAACATGTAGCTGAGATGGTTGATTGACCTGTTCTGTCTTCTCTCTTTTCTTGGTTGGGGTTCTGAGTCCAGCATTTTGATTGGGGAAATCTCCAAAGAAACTTTGTCTGAGGTGTTCTCAGACCAGATTCTTGTATGTGCTAGCAAGTACAGGGCCCGGCTCAGTCCATGGCCCCGATCAGCTGGTGGTTGCAATTGCTGGGTTGGTTCTGTTTTCAGCCCCGACTTCCACTGGAACCAATGGGTGTTGCAGTCCAGCCTGGTGCTGCCTAGCACATTCTCGGTCCTTGCATGAACTAGTTGGAGCTGCAGCCTAGTTGGAGCAACCCGCAATAACCCCCACCAGGCCCACCCCCTACCCTGGTTTGCCAGTATGTGTAGCAGTAGTCCAATCTGTCCCACACCCCATTCCATCCCAGCCCCTGTCCTGGTTTTATGCCCTCCCATAGAAGTGGTAACCCAAGAGGGAGGAGCCCACTATTTCCCTCCCAGGCCTCTCCCACTCTGTGCCTCTTTTTAACTTAGCATAGTTTTTTCAAGGTCCATCTATGTTGTATTTGTTAGTATTTCATTGCTTTTTATAGCTAAATATTGTGTTATATGGACCGTATTTTGGTCATCAATTTATAGATATCTGTGTTGTTTTTACTTTAGGGATTAGGAATACAGCTGCTGTCAACAGTCATGTACAAGATTTTGTGTACACAAATCTTTGCAGTTTTCTTCAGTCTTGGAGTGGAATTGCTGGGTCATATGATAACTTTTTTTTAACTTTCAGAGGAACTACAAAGCTATTGTGCCATTTTGAATAATGCTGCCAGGTGTTAGGGTATCAATTTCTTCTCATCCTCACTAATGCTTGTTGATTTATCCTTTTGGTTCTAGCCATCCTACTGAGCATGGAGTGGTGGCTCACTTCACTTTTGATTTGCATTTCCCTGATGATCAGTGATGACAGTTTTCTTGTACTAATTGGTCCTTAACATATTGACATCATTCTCTGTTGACTATCTTTTTTAGCTTCAGTTGTGTTTTCCTGTTTCGTGTATGCACATTATAGATCCTACATTGTAGAAAATCTTGACTCCATTGTATTTTTCCAAGGAGTTTTGTATTTTAATAGGCACTGATTTGTCCAAATAAGATGTCATACTGCCTGTCTGCCTATGAAAAGTAGCATTTTAAAATCTCATTTCAGTTTTTTTCTTAAGTTTGTGTATTTATTTATTTTATTGGGAAGTTAGATTTACAGAGAGAAAGATCTTCTACCTGCTGATTCACTCCACAAGTAACCACAACAGCCAGAATTGGGTGGGTCTGAAGTCAGGAGCCAGGAGCTTCTTCTGGGTCTCTCATGTGGAAACAGGGTCCCAAGGCTTTGGACCATCCTCAGCTCTACTGCCTTCCCAGGGCACAAGCAGGAAGCTAGAAGGGAAGTGGAGCAACTGGGTTATGAACTGGTGCCCATATGGGATCCTGGCACATGCAAGGCAAGGACTTAAGTCACTAGGCTACTGCACTGGACCCAATTTTTGTTGTTTTTTGTTTATTTGTTTGTTTTGTTTTGTTTTTTAATCCTTAATTGAACAACTATATCTTTCTAAGAAGCTGGTTAGAGATTTGTGGGACATTCAAACACCAGTTTGGGGTTACTTTCTCTACCTCTTTTATCTGTTACATCCTCCTGTCACTTTATAGATAATATAGTTGTCCTGAATTTTGACCTTAAACCAGTAAGGCCATGAATTTCTATAACTTATTTTGAATGTGGGACCAACTCAGTGAGACTACAAATACTGAGAATCATGCTCCCCAGCCTCTTTCTCCTGTCAGTATCTGTGTCTCTCCATTGATTCCTCATAGTTATTTTGAAAATATTTTGGCATAATTATACTCATCATTATTTTTTATATCAGGGTTGGTCTGGTAGTACTTGTTTGCTCATTACCAGGAGCAAAGCCTCTGATTATTTTTGTTAGTTTCTCAGAGTACACAGAAATTTCTTCCCAATGGTTATTCTTTTAGTAATTGCCTTTGCATTTTTGACATTTTTTAATGTTTATCTTTGTCACAATAAATTAGTTTGAAATGTGATTTATTTGAGGAACAAGGCAAAATATTATTCGTGGAGGGAATTATTCAGTTTTGAGTTCAGGAATATAAGTTTATTAAATTATCTCCGTGAATTCCTGTCTTTTGTAATTTCATAGATTTAACTATTGTAGACATATGGTTGTAGTTTACAATCAGATGGGGAACGTCTGGCCACAGGAATATGAGGCCTGTGAAATTGTTGGTCTAGCTCTGTCAAGGCAGCTGCAGATGGGGCTTGAAATTTAATAAACTGAGCAGGCTAACTTTTAAGTTGATAATATTGTATGGCCTGAGAATTAATGTTATATAAATACCCAGTTGGCTTTTGGAAGAAAAAATGCTTCCCGCCCCTTGTTTACATGGGTGCTTTTTTGAAACAGCAAATTTATTACATACATAACTATGTATGGCAAAGGGTCTACATAAAGTTTGTGGGGAATATATATCATGAAAAATTATATATATATTAATTAAAAAAATTTTTGTACCAAAATGTATTCTGATTCCATTTCTTCACAAACTTTTTAAAGTACTATCATAAAATTGAACTTATTGGAAACCATAGGAAGAATTCTGGATGTTTGATAGCATTGTGAGAAGTATGTATAGGCCTAGCACAGTGGCTCAATGGCCAAATCCTCACCTTGCAAGTGCCGGGATCCCATATGGGCAGTGGTTTGTGTCCTGGCTGCTTCACTTCCCATCCATCTCCCTACTTAGGGCCTGAGAAAGCAGTAGAAGATGGCCCAAAGCCTTGGAACTCTACACCTGCGTGGGAGACCTGGAAGAAGCTCCTGATTTTAGTTTCAAATCAGCTCAGCTCTGTCTGTTGTGGATGCCTGGGGAGTGAACCTGAGGAGTATCTTTCCTCTCCATAAATCTGATTTTCCTTTCCAATTAAAAAAAATGAGGCCCGGCACGATAGCATAGCAATTAAGGTCCTCGACTTGAATATGCTGGGATCCCATATGGGCGCCGGTTCTAATCCCAGCAACTCTAGTTCCCATCCAGCTCCCTGCCTGTGGCCTGGGAAAGCAATCGAGGATGGCCCAAAGCATTGGGACCTGCACCCACGTGGGATACCCGGAAAGAAGTTCCTGGCTCCTGGCTTCAGATCAGCACAGCACCAGCTGTTGCGGTCACTTGGGGAGTGAATCATCGGATGAAAGATCTTTCTCTCTGTGTCTCTTCCTCTCTGTACATCTACCTTTCCAATAAGGTTAAATAAATCTTTTTAAAAAAATCTTTAAAAAATGTATAAATATTATACACTGAGTATTCAGTATGTTTCGACTCCATTTCATTAGCAATTGTCTTCTAATGGCCCAACTGATAAATATATTGATTATTGTGTTTTGGAGCCACTCTAACTAGGGATAAGCGGCATTCCTCGTTCACTCTGTTCTTTTACTAAATGCTACCTGTTCCTTTACTCATAATGTCTAAACTAGACATGAAAAGATACCATAGTGGGTTTGTGGTTTGATCTTAAATAGGTGGAATAGTTAGCACCCATGCAAGTTTTAAAATATTTTTTGTAAAATTCTTTATTTTATTCCCACTTGTCTTTAGAGTTCCATTAACTTCAAATGATGATGATGATGATGGTGATGGTGATGATAAAGAGAAAATGCAGTGTAACCAGTCTGTTTTATCAGAGGCACCACCTGATATTCCCTCTTCAGCATCAACAAAGCGGTCTTTATCTGCACGGCATAATTTGGAAGAGTTACTTCAGAAAGAAAATAACCAAATTATATATAGTCTGGATGACTCAGAACATATTTCTTCTCTTGTGGATATACTTCCCAAAGGTGAGATTGTTTTAAAAATTTGTTTTGAGTATCAATATTAAATAGTTGTATTCAGGGAGGTTGGCTTGGTGGTATAATGATTGGAGCCATTGTCTGCAACATTAGCATACCGTATGAGTACGAATTTGTGTTCTGGCTCCTCTGTTTCCAGTTCAGCTCCCTGCTAATGGCCTGAGAAAAGCAGTGGAGGTGGCCTAAATGCTTGGGACCATGCTGCCCACATGGGAGACCTAGATGAGACTTCTGGATTTAATTTGGGCTGTTTTATTCATCAGATTTTCTTGAGGGCAATGATGTAAATATAATCAGTTAGCAAAGTCTGTGATGCTACACGTTTGCTAACTTCCAACGATTAAAACTACTAATGAAAATTTGAATTTGAAACTAAATAGTGTCCCTTTAAAAATGGGTAGGACTGGAGCTAGTGTTTTGTTGTGGTAGATTAAGCTGACACTTATGATTCTAACCTCCCATAGAAGTGCCAGTTTGAGTCCTAGCTGTTCTGCTTCTGATCCAGCTCTCTGTTAATGTGCATGGAAAAGCAACAGAATATGATGCACGTGCTTGGGGCCCTTCCTCACGTGAAAGACTCACATGGAGTTACAGGGTCCTAGCTTCTGCCTGGCTCAGCCACATCATGGTCATTTGGGCAGTGAATCAACTGGTGAAAGAAATCTGTTTTTCTCAGCTCTGCCTGGCTTAAAAAGCTTGTTTTGGTATACCACCTGATGATTTGGAAGATGACATTTATTTCATCCTCTCCTTTGATAAATAATAAAATTGGAGGGAGGGTGTAAGTAGGTGTAGTTAATGAAAACTGGTTAATGAAAACTCAGACCTGGGTAATGACTAAGTCTCCCCCCCTCATTGACACATTTTAATTTACATGGTATTATTAAATGAAATAGTCTGCTGTATTTTTCTCTTTATCACAGACTTTCATATAGGGGTATGGTGCTACAACTGGATTGAATTTAGAATTTTCCTTTTTGAAAGCATGTGTATACATGTACACATAAACATGAGTTATATATTTTACCTGGATTATCCAGTAGACTTTTGACAGTAATCCTTTTTTTTTTTTTACTTTTTTTTTTGTTAATTTATTTTAATAATCTTAGTTGAATAGGGTACAAAGGGTCAAGGGCTACAGGGTGAAAGTGGGTAATATCATTGTTTCCACACTAATACAATCATTTTTCCCTGTGTCTGGGGTTAGAGGAGTAGCAAAGGGAAAAGCCCCACCCAACTTCCCACCCATCCCCCATCCCCAACATGAGGCGAGCTCCAAGGGTCCTGCTCATACAGTTTTGATAGTTCATCAGTGCTGGATTGCTGCCAATCTCACCGTCCCAACCGCAATGAAACCTATTCAGAGTCCGCTGGCTGACAGTCTCTTGATGGTTGGGGTTCCAAGATCAGCAGTTCAGTTGGAGAGATATCCAAAGAAACTTCATCTGAGTTGATCCCAGATCTGATTCTTGCGTGAGTTTGCTAGTACAGACTCCAACACCGTTCGTCACACCAATCAGCTTATGCACATGCTGATCTTTGTGATTGCTGGGTCCGTTCAGTTTCCAGCCCCGTCTTCCTCGTGAACCAATGGGTGTTGTATTCCAGCTCGATCCTACCCACTTCATACTCCGTCTTCATGCAAACCAGTTGGAGCTGTAGCCTAGTTGGGGCGACTCCCCAAAACCCCTACCAGATCTGCCCCCTACCCTGGTTCCCATGCTTGCCAGTATTTACCACAGGCTTGTCCAGTCTGTCCCACATCCCATTTAGCTCTCGCACACATCAATGGACATTGAAGCCTAGTTCAACCCAACCAACCTGTTATCCAGCCCATACACCTACTGGCAGGTGCCTTTCTGTCTAGCCACCCCTGCCCCTATCCTGGTTTTCGTGCTGTCCAGTGAGGGTGGTAACCCTGAGGGATGTGCCCACTATTTCCCTATTAGGCCATACCCACTCCCAGATTATGCAGTCTCCAGGTGGTTCTGGCATTTGACTTGATAGAATTAGCTCCCAGTACCAGCCTCTGCCAGCTAATGCTGTGGCTAAGCCCAAACACCCCTCAAACCACTCTAATTTTACTTGCACAAGTCAGAACAGTCAGCTCCCCGTGAGGCCCTGCCTAGTCTGAACTTCCCCCATCCCAATTCACGCTTTCCAATGGAAGTAGTTATCCAGCAGGGGAGCCCACGTTCCCCTGTCGGCTTTGCCTCCACCCCGATTGTCACATGTGCTATTTGGGCGCTGCAGCCACATCTGGTACGGCTCATCTCACCTTGGCATTACTTGTTGTGTACTGGTATGTGTTGCAACCAAACCTGGCTTGACCCGCACTCTGTTCTGGTGCTCGGATTCACCAGAAGGTAATGTGAACAGGTTCAGCCTGGCCTGCCCCCAACCCATGCCATGTGTATGCCGGAGGGATAATTTCCATTGCCTGTTCTGAGTTGTTCCCTATTGTGCTTCTTGCGCTTGCCTGCAAGCAGGGGACTGTGTCCTGCCAGAGAAGTTGCCCAGGCTCCTCTACCAGAACCTCTCCCACTGCCAGTTTTTGCGCATACCAGTGGGTCCATGAGCTAGCACTACTCAGTTCACCTCCTGTCCTAAGAGGAACAGTGGCTTTTCCTGACTGGCCTTCAACCCAAGCTGGTTCTTGTTGTTGGATATTTCAACCCAGCCATGGCTCTTCCATACCCCCACACAGCTCACACATGGTTCAGTAAGGGCTGAGACCTAGCCTAGTCTGTCACACATCTCTCCCCGGTCCTCCAGAGCACCAGATGGTGTCAGAATCTGGCCTGGCTTGGTGCTTCCCGTCCCAGTCCCCACTTGTGCCAAGTGAGATTACAATCGTATCCTGATCAGAATGCAGCCTCAGTTCCAGCCCATGAGCTCCTTGGTGGGAAACTCAACCCAGCTAGGGTGTCCCGTTATTTCCCCAACCGGGCCTCTTCCCTGCCTTAGATCAGGTGCAGGCCGGTGGTGGTTCTGTCTCCGCTTGGCAGAGCCCCTCACTTGTCCTGGCCCCTTGGATGCTGTGGCTTAGTGCCTCTGCCTCACACAGATCAGTATATGCAAGGACGTACATGGCATGAGCTGTGCTCCAACCTGATTTCTGTTGTTTCTTGTGAGTTAAGGTTTGTTCAGCCCTGCCCATTCTGCCCCCTTCCAGTGGCAGCCCGGCCTACCCCACATCCTGTTTAAAGATGTACATTTGGGTGCTGCTGCCTCGACCTACCCTGACTGTTGTGGGTTCCTTTACCCATGAGTGATGGCAGGTGGCATGGTCACACCTAGCTTAGACCATTGCAACCCCAGCTTGCGAGCTAACCTGGGGGACTTGTATTCCAAAGGGTTGGGCCCACACAACCCCACAGAGTCTACCCCTAGCCCAAGTTCTCTTGCATGCTGGATAGTGTCTGGATCCTACCAAATGTGACCACTCCACAACTCCAACACTCAGTCGGGTAATGGTACCCAACACTGCCAAAGAGGCCCCCATCCATAGCTTTGGTGTGGGCTAGTGTGTGGCGATCAGTGATGTTCTATACTAATATCCCATCTCTGTATTCATAATTGAGCTGTTGCATCTGTCTTTCTAATATTATCTTCTGGATACTTCACTCCAATCCACCAGGTCTTGGTCCCCTCGCATGCTTAAATCTCTCATGACCCTGTCACTGAGAATACCCGAAAATTCACTTCGCACCTACACTCAACCTAGTCTTAGTCGTGAGTGACCCCAGGCAGTACTACATATCTTGAAAACCCCAGATTTCACCCTGCCGGGCGGCCAGCAAACAAAGCCTGGCACCACTTGGTACACTGGCCGCCCTGGGGGAGGCCGAGGACTCGTTAGTGAGTCCTTGCGGCAGTGTCTTTGGCGTGAGTCCCCAGCATTGAGTTCGACCCGGTAGGGGCACCCCCCACAGTCGCCACACTGCAGGGAGCGTCAGAGGCCCCCAAGCCCAAGGCCCGAACTCCTCCCAAACTCACCCAGCCACCATATCTTAGTGGCAGGGCGGAGCTAGGAATTTTAACCCAGTTCCCAAGTACCCTCATGGTGGACTTACCCTGAGGGAAGAGCTCTCTTGGGTCCTGGGGGAGGCCGAGGACTCGTTCACTGCCTTGCGGCAGTGTCTTTGGCATGAGTCCCCAGCATTGCGTCCGACCCGGCAGGGGCACCCCCTACAGTCGCCACACTGCAGGGAGCATCAGAGGCCCCCAAGCCCAAGGCCCGAACTCCTCCCAAAACGACAGTAATCCTTTTTAAAAAGTTATCGTTTTCATTTAGGTTTTCTTGCTTGCCTCTTTCTGCTTTACTAATGTGTTTTGATGACTACTGTTAGCTCTACTGCAAATAGTACTGTTACCTGTTTTGGGACTGAGATAGAGTACATTCTTCATAATATGCATTTTCTATAGATAGAAATGTAAAATGTGATTTAGGAATATTCGGATTATTTCTAATTTTTACCAGCACAGGTTGTTAGTAATATAAGGATCAGAACAAAATGCATTTTTGGATGTCCTTTCTGTGAAACACTTGTATTTTTAATTAGATTTCTAATCTAACTTGCTTAAAGTAACTTTTTACTTCATGAATTTCATTTTCCTTTATTTTGCAGAAAGCTGTTCTTCTTCAGACCAAAGTTTCAAGAGTTCTCTAAGTGCAATGGGAAATACCACATCAGTTGTTCCCAGCAGGGCTAAGCAGTCTCCTAGTAACGTGACTGAAAGGAAGAAACATAGGTCATCCCGGGGATCAGCCAATTTGCCTGCAGACACACCTTGTACAACAAATATAGATGAAGAACAATGCATTTCAGCTCCAGAATTAAATTTGACGAATGAGTTAAATGATTGCACTCAGGAAACAAATAATAAAACTCACAGAAATGGCCAGTGTCTTCCTGGCTTATCTTCTGGATCTGCAAGTGAACCTAATGCAAAGCAGGTGAATCAACTGCAAGATAATGATGACTTGCAACTACAGAAAACTGTGTATGATGGTGACATGGATTTAACTGCTAGTGAAGTCAGCAAAATTGTTACAGTTTCAACAGGCACTAAAAATAAAAGTAATAAAAGTGTAAGTGATTGTCAAACAAAAACTTTTAGAAAAGTGAAAGATCCACGCGCTGAAAGAAAGAAAGAAAGGTCAAAGAGAAAATATAAAAGTAATTCAGTTGTGGATACTGAGGAAAAGATTGAAAACAGACCAGAAAGAAGATCTGTTGTCCTGGATGACAAAAGTAATTCAGAAGACCTACATTTTTTTACTTTTAGTACTGAACAGCTGGCTCAAGTGAACACTCTGAAGGAAATAACCCCCAGTAAGAACTTCAACTCAGATGACAGAGGTAATACACAGTGTAATAAAAAGAAGAGAACAACATATGTAATAAATGAGCAAAAAGAAATACACTCTTTCTCTCAAAGTTCAGATCAGTTCCTTCAAGAGGGTAAATTTGATTTGGGTCAGAATTCCATAGCTGGAAATAGAAGTAAAGCTTCTAGGCAGACATTTGTGATTCATAAGTTAGAAAAAGGAATTGTATTCCCAACCCAAAAGGGTAAAGAAACCACTTCTGAAAATCTAGGAATCACAGATGAACCTGAAACAGCCAATTTTTTCACCAAAGATACTGGAAATTTATGTAATTATGAGACCCAGGATATGCTGAATTTGAACAAGTATGTCACTGATATGCAGGCTGCTCAGCAAAATGAATCAAAAATAAACAAACCTGAGCGTAAAATAAATCGGAAGACAGAAATAATTTCCAAAAGAAACCAGATACATGAGACTGATGATAGAGATTTGCACAGACTAGAAAACAGTAGCTTTTTGTCTGAAACCCAACAGGAAAAAGAAACCATGTCTGGAAACCTAGAAGTTACAGAACAATTTCAAGCACTTCATTTCATCAGAGATAATGGATATGAGACCCAGAATGTGTTGGGTTGGCAAAAGCAGATCACCAGTGTGTATCCTGTTCAAGAGAATGAATCAAAAGTTAATAAGCTTAGGCAGAGAGTAAGTCGGAGAACAAAAAGAATTTCTGAAGTGGACCATTTAAATAATGCCAAAAGTGTGCATTGCCTGGAAACGGATAGTTATTTCTTTCCAACTCAAAAGGATAAAGAGATCATCCCTGGAAATCTGCAAGACCCGAGTGAGTTTCAAACATCTGTTCTTCCTACCAAAGATAGTGGAAACCTTTATGAAGGGGTGATAAAACATGTCCATGCTGTGCCGCCTGCCTGTCAAAATGCTTCAAAAACAGACAAGAAACTTAGACAAAAGGTCTGTCGAAAAACAGAAATAATTTCTGCAGTGAACCAAACACATGAGATTGGTGACAAACCTTTGTGTGACCTAGAAAACAGTAACTTCTTTTCTCCAACCCCAAAATATAAAGAAGCCGTTTCTGGAAACATGCAAATCACAAATGAATTTCCAACAGCTGTTCTTCCCACTAAAGATAATGGAAATCTATGTGACTATGACACCCGTGATATATTGGATTTGCAAAAGCGTGCCACTGATAGGGAAGCAACTGAGAGAAATGATCCAAAAATAAATAAGAAGCTTAGGCAGAAAGAAAATCGGAAGACGGTAATAATTGGTGAAGTGAACTGGATATGTGGAGATGATGATAAAGGAGTGCTTGGTCAGGAAAGCTTTCCAAAAGACTTTGACTTTAAAATTAGTAAATCTAAACAAGGACTTGACTGTCAGGGCACCAGTGGACACTATGTGAGTACCAACAGTAATGAAAACAGTCACCAAATTTTAGATCCTTACAAACTAGCCAACAAGTATAGAAAGAAATCTGGCAAAGCAAGGGATAAGAACAAACCTATTGCGAAGTTGACAGATTCTTCCCAGACATCTCTCTCCTTAGAATTTGGTTTGCAAAATGTTGCTAATGAAGCAGATGCTGATGCAGGCAACCAAACTGACCACTGTAACAGTGAGAAGCACAGTGCTCTGCCTTTGAGTAAAAGAAGAGATACTTTCTTTATAGAGATGGTAAAAGAAGGAGAAAGCCAGAAGAAAAAAGTAAATAAAGTGACTTCCAAATCAAAGAAAAGAAAGACTTTTCTAGCTACCTCTCCAGATACACATGAAGTAATGGGAGTAATGCCTGACATTATTCGAAGAAAGTCAGTTGACTGTGGACAGACTGACAAGGAAAATTATTTGGAGAATGAGCAAATGGTCACAGTAAAGCCAGACTTTTGCACCGAAAAGTTTAAATCTTTTTCTCGGATATATTCACCTAACATAAAAGATTCTTCCTTTCACAGTGTTCATAAGAGTTCAATACCTCTGAGTTTTTCTTCTAGTAAAAGTCTGGTAGTAAAAGAAACTTTTGCCCTGGAATGCTCACCAGTGTTTCAAGCAAGTGAGGATGTACATGAGAAGGTGAAAGAGATGAAGCTTAAAGTCAACCAGAAAACAAAAAAATCAGAAATAGGTAGGTAAATTCCAAAGTGATCAAATTTTAGAAGTATACATACGTTTTTCACTTGGTTAGTATATGTTCTATAATAATAATTTTCTGGAATTTTGAGACAGTATATGCTGATATAAAGTCATCCATGGAAATAGCAGGAAGGATTTAAAAGGAAGCTTAATACTTCGGTAAAATAGTAATAAAAATCTTGAAAATTTATAATTAAAAAGTTTGTTTTATCACAAAGTTGTTTGAAATGAGGGTGCTTAAAAAATTCATATAAAATAGGATTAAAGATTTCAGCCACATAATATTTCAAAACATCCATGGGAAATTTATGTTATAAAAATATATCTGCTTCTAGAGATGTAGGGTATGTTAGAGGATTGTTGAGCTATCCTTGGTCTCATGGTACCTTTCACAGAGGGGGGAGTTAATGGGCTACCTATTAAATGAATGTGCAATAATTGGGGTCATTCAGATTAATCATAAAGAATTTGTGTCAGCCTATGCTTTATTTCAGGATAAAATATCAGGCTTACTTGATGGTTTTTGCATCAAATTTTAAGCCTTTTTTTTCTGTCAAAATTTAATAGTTTTAAAATCGGCTAGTAATTTACAAAGCAATGTAAATCCCCTTTGCATTTCCATATCTCTATAAGGATTTCATAAGTATCTGAAAATTTTCTTCCCAGGTGTTAGAACATTACAGGACTTGACAAATACCAATTTTGTTTCTTGTGACACTGCAAAATCTGAAAATGTGTTAGAAGATCCTTCCTCAGAGCTTCCGAGGAAAAGAAGGAGATGTGTACCTCTCTCTCTGAAAGAGCCGAGTCTCAGAAGGTAAGTGTCTCCGTGAGTTGAGATGCTGTTGGGAAATATTTGTTCTTAAGAAACATCCCACCTGAATATGCATGCTTCTGAACATCAGTGAAATGTATTGTTGGTGTATGATGGCTACAACATTTCTGGTTAGCTTAGAGAAGTGTATTCTTTGAACAGGTGTATCTTTTATTGGTCTGAATTTGTTGGTATGGATTCAGTTCTCAGTCCTACTACTTTTTTAATATGTATATTTTTTTCACTCTATTATTATTATTATTATTATTTTATGACACAGTTCCATTGACCCTGGGTTTTCCCTTCTCCCCCTACCCAAATCTGCTCTGACCACCTACTGATTTCCCTTATGCTATTACAATAATATGGTTCTTCATAAACAGTTACAAGTCCATCCTTGTGGACACAGACAATGGCAGAGTCCAGCATCATATTGTCAAGGTATATTCAGCAGTTCCATTGGGAGTCTATTTGATCTGGAAGTAGAGATGCATACTGCATTGTATCCTCATATCCAGATATGATAGTCTCCATTACACAGTTACTATACATCCCCATAAATGAAAAGCCACAAAATAAAATCAACAATAAGAGGAAAAGAAGAAACTAAAATGCCATGAAGTTAAATAACATGCTACCAAATGACTAATGTGTCACTGAAGAAATGGAAAAGAAAATGAAGAACCTTCTTGAAGAAAATGATGCTACTGCAGTGACCTGTGAGTCAGTGAGGAATTTAATATGAGAAAAAAAGAAACTTTGAAGAAATGAAATTAAAAACAAAAACATCAGAATCCATGAGATATAGCTTCTTCTGATCTTTGTTGGTGAGATGTGTCTCCTTTAGACAACAGATATATGGGTTTTATTTTCTTTTAATACAGTCTACTTATCTATAATCCATTGTAAATGGTGAGTGTAAGCCATTTGCAGTACAGCATGATGGCTCAGTGGCTAAATCTTCTCACCTTGATGCATCGGGATCCCATATGGGCACTGGTTTGTGTCCTGTTTGCTCCACTTCCCTTTCAGCTCCCTGCTTGTGGCCTGGGAAAGTAGTAGAGGATGGCCAAAGCCTTGGGCTCCTATACCCGTTTGGGAGACCTGGAAGAAGCTCCTGGTTCCTGGCTTTGGATTGGCTCAGCCCCAGCCCTTGTGGACGCTTAGGGAGTAAACCCATGTATGGAAGATCCTTGTCTCTATCTCTCCTTCTTTCTATATATATGCCTTTCCAATAAAAGTAAACTTAAACAGTTATTTCAATGGCATAATTAGAATGAGATCTTTCATCTGCTGGCTCACTCCCCAAATGACTGTAACAGCCATGCTGGGCTAGGTCATAACCAAGGATCAGGAGTTTCTTCCAGGTCCCCCTCATGGGTGAAGGGTCCCAAGTAGTTGGACCATTTTCCACTGCTTTCCCAGGCACATTAACGGATAGCTGGATTGGAATTAGAGTAGTTTGGAGTTGAATTAGCATCCACTTGGGATCTCTGATGTTGTAGGCGGCAGCTTAACCCCTTATGCCATGACTCTGGCCTTAAATATGGACTTCTTAACGCAGTTATTAACAAAGCCTGATAACAGTTATAACAATCATCAGTAATTCCTTAGTTTCATATGTCAACCCATGCCTTGAATTGTCTTAAGTCTTTACATGCATTTTATTCAAAATTGTGTTTTTGAGATAAGTACTGTATTATGGATTGCATCACATTGTGGGTAATTTTTCTGTAACATAGAGAAAAATATTCTAAATTTTGTCTTTTGCATTATTTCTGTTGTCTGTTTTTATGCAACTGATGTTTAGTTTGAGAAATATTTTCAAATGATAGCCAGCAGATGGCAGTAATGCAAGCGAGGGTGAATTAGAAGAAATTTAGATCACAATGAAGGACCAAGGGCTTTCCTTAAGAAAACAACTTCATTGAGACATTGAATAGCTCTTTATTGTGATATGCCATACATTTCACCCACTTAAAGTGAATGATTCAGGGGCATTTACTATATTTATAGACATGTGAAAGTGTCTTCACAACAATTTTAAAGTCATTTCTCTACTTCAAAAACAAATTAGTGCCATGTTGTCTGGCTTTACTTCCAACCTTCAAGCCCTAGGCGACTGACTATTCCTCTGCTTTTTTTTTCTGTGCATATTTCCTCCTCCTTGATATTTCATTAGAATGTTTTCAAGGTCAACTATACTCTTGCATGTGTCCCTAATTCATTCCTCTTTCTGGCTAATATTCCATTGATCTTGCATCACTTTGTTTATTCATCTACTGATGGAAATTTGAATTGTCCCTCCCTTTTCTTGGCAATGACGAATGATGCTGCAACAAAAATTCACATATGTTTTTGCATGAATGTAGCTAACATTCTTCTCAGATTTATTCTGAGGAGTGGGATATACAGATGTATAAAAGAAGGTCAACAAGTATAATAGCTCTTCTAATAACTTGAGGAGCTGCTTATTCCCACCAGCAGTGTAGGTGGGGCTTCAGATTTCTCTTTACTTCAGCAACGCTTGCAATTATTCGACTTTTTGGTTCTCTCCATCCTAGTGGATGTGGAATGATATCATAGTTTTGATTTGCAGTTCCCAAATGCTAATGATGTTTATTATTTTTCATGCATTTATCGGTCATCTCTACTTTCAGTCTTCCTTTGAAGAAATATCTATTAGTCCTTTGCCCTTTTTCAGTTGAGTTTTTTCATTGGCTTAATTTTTTATCTTGAATTTATCTTGAATTATTTTTAGACTTACAGAAAATTTGCAAGAAGAGTACAGAGATTTATCAATGCCCATTACTGAGCTTTCCCTAATTTTAACATCCTTAACTGCTCACAGTACATTTATCAGAAATGGAAGCTTAGCCAAGCTATGGACTATCACTAATATCCTGTTGTGTCTTAGAATCCTGGCGAGGGTTCCACTTCACATTTAGTTTTTCCTTAGCCTTCTCAAGCCTGAGCCGTTTCTCAGTTGTTCCTTTTCTCTCCTGCCTTGAAAAATGTTTCTCAGTAGGAGTTTGTCTAAAGTTTTTTCATAATCATATTGCAGTTATTCTGGGCAAGATTTCCACAGAAATGACATGTTCTCATGTGAGTGATTTGTCAAGTCAGTTGTATTTTGTAATTAGTAGTATTACCTTCATCACTTCATTGTAGTGATGTCTGCTAGGTTTATTCACTGCTAAGTTTCTGTCTTTCCCTTTTTAGTTAATGAAGATAACGAGTCTATGTATCCTGTTTCTCAGTTTTTCATCCACTGATTTTAGCATGCTTTGGTGGATTTTCTGCAACAGTTAACTTGTGTGCTGTTTGACTTTTTGCTTTCACCTTTTCTTCTACAAGGAAGAACATAATCCATGTTATTTATGTCAATATGCTCTTACGGCTATGTATCTTATTCTATAGGTAAAAATATTATACTCTCTCAATTGATCTTTACTTCATTGTTAAAGGTATCCCAACTTTATTTCTTAAGAGTTTGTTGTTGTTATTGTTGTTGCTTATTTGAAAGATAGAAACAAAAGATCTTGACATTCACTGTTTTATTACCCAAATGACCACAAATGCTGGGGCTGCTTCAGGCTGCCACCAGGTGCCTGAAACTCCATTCAAGTCCTCCTTGTGAGCGCCTGGGCCTGCATACTGAGTCAGACTCTGCTACTTTCCCAGGCACACTAACAAGGACTGGATTGGAAGCCAAGTGCTCAGGAAATGGGCCTATGAGTTTTTCTGCAGAAATTCTGATTACTGATTGTGTGTTTCTATGTGTGTCTGTGAGGGGGGTGGTAAGGAGGGAAGGAGAGAGGAGGGAGAGAGATGTTTCTATGTTATGAATTATTTAAGTGTTTGTGGCCTAATATATATGATTGATTTTAACTACTCTGAACACTCAGAAAAATTCCTGCCATTGCCATTGCTATCATCAATGCCTATGAGCACTTCAAATTAATGAGCAACTTCAGGGCCTGGCATGGTAGCCTAGTGGCTAAGGACCTTACCTTGCATGCCCTTGGATCCCATATGTGTGCTGGTTCGTATCGTGGCTACTCTGCTTCCCTTCCAGCTTACTGCCTAAAGTCTGGGAAAGCAGTGCAGGATGGCCCAAAGCCTTGGGACCCTGTACTCGTGTGGGAGACCTGGAAAAGACTCCGGGCCCCTGACTTTGGATCAGCTCAGCTCTGGCCATTGCAGCCACTTTGGGCAGTGAACCAGCAGAGGGAAAATCATATCTCTGTGTCTTCTCTCTGTATACTTGCCTTTGCAATAAAAATAAACAAATCTTTAAAAAAATAAAGTAAAAATAAGCAACTTCAATCAGGATCTACCCTTGTAAAAGCTACTAACAGCTGTGACATACATAGTTAATACATGCCATTTCCAATTCAAAAAAGAAACCAATGGCAAGTCAGCTGCCATTACTGTATATTTGTGCTGAATATTCCTTATGATTTTTGTTTTCAGACATTTCCACAGCTAATTCTAGTTACTCAAGACAGCAGTGTCCTGTTGGTTCAGAACAGAATGATATCTACTCTCCTTCTAATTTTTAATACTGTTTAAAGTTTGGGCTATGTGCACGTATTTCCTCCAATCACAAATATACACAAGCAATGTAAAGAACAAATACATTACTACTTGTTGCAACATGATGTGCTAGGTGCCACAGATCAACCAACTTACTGAGTAAAATAACAGTGCTACCTAAAATACTTAAAAAAATATCTTGGACATATCTATGAGCTTGTAAGAAAAGCCCAGCTCAGAAATAAATGAAAATAGGAACCCAGAGAAGTAAGTGGAGCCCAAAACTTGCTTTTGCCTGAGGGCAACTTGTCCAACTGGGCATATCTAGGCATTGGATTTGCAGCTTTATGACGCTGGGGACAGAAGACAAATCCTAGGGTTTAGCAAAAATGAGAAGTCTAGTGCAGATCCCTTTCAATAAACTTGAGCTACTCTCTCAAAAGAACATCAAACTAAAAATAACCTTCCCACTAGCTTTTTCAACCCCAGGAAATATCTCTGGTGCTGAATTTGAGAGAAAAAAATCTTACCAAAATTCATAACCAAAACCAGGGCTTCATGCAGATTGCAGTTAGACTAGAAGGCACGAAACTCCACAAATTGAGCAGTGAGAATAAATAAGTGGCCTGTGATTCAAATGCAAATATTTTCCAGGAGAGCCCTCATTCATCTCAGTGTTCCAAACATCTTCCACAGCTAAAGTTCCAAGAGAAGTGACCAGTGACCATGAACAGAAAGCTCACAGTAATGAAAAACGCTACCCACACAAGGGAAGCTGTAAGTACCAGCAGAAATATCAGTGTCAGAATCAGATACAGAAAAGAAAATGAATTTGAGGGTAGTTTTGAAAATGAATAGAGATGTTCACTGGAATACATGCAAGTCATAGGAAAGCACTTCTACCGTAAGGTTCCATTGTTATGAAGTGAAACAAGAAAACCCCACAGTCCAATACTGAGGAATGCAATGTACAGCTGGTCAGCACAGAGGAAAAGCAAAGGAATGATTGGTACGTTCAGAGAGGCACACTCTCCTTGGGTGAGAAGGGGGATGTGGGCAGGAAGGGCTGCAATGAAGGCTTGTGAGATATACTGGTATTTCATTTCTTAATCTTGGTGGCAGGTACATGAACATTTATGTTGTTGTTTTCAGTTGTATATTTGCATGTATTCTTATATTTGTGCCAAAGTCTGTAACAACAAGGAACTCTGTGGTAAAACATAATGTGTAAAGTTGATGTTGATCAGTTTCTTTTTAAAGCTGATTTATAATTGTATGGTAAAGCCTATGGTTTAAGAAGACTGCTTTTCTGGTGCGAGGCAGCAGTTTTATCTCCAGGCTTCATAACAAAAGCAACAATTTTGGGCTGTTCTCAATGGTAATATCTCTCTTTTTTTTTTTTTTTCTACTCTGCAGGAAGATGAGAAGATGAGGTGAAGTTTGTGGATTTTGTTTTTTTCTGAATTCCCAGCATAAGTCACAACAGAAGTATAACAAGGATCAAGAAGATGGAATACTCAATAAAAAGCACCTTTTTTTGTTATTGTTTTGGGACTATTTGTGGATTGTTTATTTATCCATTATGTTGATAAATATATGTGTATAAGATATTATTTTATAATAATAAACCTTAAAAATTTTTTGGTCATCATATAAATTATCCACCTTCTTATTTAAGTCTTTTTTTTTTTGACACCCTTCAACTAAACAGTAGCTATTAGTATTTTAACCAAATAAAATGTTAACATTAGTATTTTTGGTTATCATGTATAACAAGATTACATTGCTTTGCTTTATGTTTAAACCATTCAATATATGTGAACGTGTGTAAAAAGGTTTTGCTGATTTTTTGAAAAAGGTTTATTTTTTTGAAAAGTGAGTTAGAGAGGATTGGAGAAATAGATCTTCCATTTACTGAATCATTCTCCAAATAGACACAATAGCCAGGATGGGTCCAGTTTGAGGCTAGGAGTTGTCCTGTCCAGCAGGACAGTCAATGGGGGTCACGACCAACCTAGGAGAGAATGAAGAGGATAAGAGACACGAAGAATGGACAGCAAGACAGGATGTCTGATCAAGCTGTCAGTTTATTGATTTTAATTGAGGGTATTTATATTCTTCAGTAACTAAGGCTCAGGGAGGAAAGGAGAAACTGGGACACAAGCCATGGTCTCAAGACCGATTGTTTTTGAGCAGCCACCATATCCACAATAGTAACCACCATATTAACAATAGCATAGGTAATCAATAACAAGATGTCGGCAGGTACAGCATAAATCACATTCTGAAACAGTTGCTAGAAATAGTTGAAGCTAAGCATGTGATTAGTTTCATAATTTCTTTCCCAAGCATCTAGCCAGCCAGGGGTTTTCCACTGGCCCATAGTTCTATATTCAAAATGGCTTCAGTGTGGCTACAGTGCATGGCTCCTGACAAGGAGTCAGCAGCTTTTTGGGGTTCTCCCACATGGGTGCAGGGCTGCAAGCACTTGAGTCATCCTCCACTGCTCTCCCAAGCATTGAGCTGGATCAAAAGTGGACTCAAACTGGACGCTGGTGTCACAAGGGGAGGCTTTTACCCACTAAGGTACCATGCTGGATCCTACAAAAAAATTTTCAACATTGTCTGTTGCCATAGCCAGTTTTCTCTCTTCATCCTTGTACTTGCAGAAATAGTTGTGGGGTGTCATATATTACTTCTAGTTTGTGGGGTCTGACTTGAGGGAGGAGATTAACCTTTAGAGCTCTTTTTTAAGTTTTGTTTTTATAACCTTATTTTGAAAACCACCAATTAATAAGAAGTAACAAATCCTATTAGTGCATGAGATCAAAGAAACATTTGCCATATTCAATCACTAGTTAAATTGTATTCTGACTAGATGGAAAGTCTCTCTAAGGTAACATCTGACCAGTGAAGGAGCAAGCCCACAAATCTGCATTTTTCCATAAATAATGCAGTTCATTTGGGGACAAATTATTCTAGGACCATACTTGGAGAGACTCCTGTAGGGATACAGAGTGTCATAGAATTTGTAATGTTAAAGATAACATTTCTAAGTGCTAAAGCGGAAGAGCCACCTCATAATGTCAGTGGAGTGGAGGCTATTTTATTAAGTCAGTTCACACTGTGGATAAGAGGGAAAAGAGCTTGGCTCTGTGACAATCCTTGTTAAATTCCTGAACTGTTATCCAAGACTTTGGACCTTTGGGAGTCTTTGTGCTATGATGTTCTTGTTCCTATTCATTTTTCTCTGTGCTTTTTTCCCCCTTCACAGAAAATTTTTTTTTTCCTAAGTCACAATTGTCAATATTTTACTGTTGGTGGAATTGACTCCTGGAATTTCCTTCCAAGTTATAAAGACCTTTACCTGTGTTTCATATTGTTTTTTACTTAGAGTTCCAATTCACTTGGGATTTGTTATATCATGTGAAATATGAATGCATTATTTTTCACCTTCTTTCAAACAACCATGAAAAAAATCCATGACTCCCAATACTGCTTTGAAACGCCATCTTTGTATGTTGTATTTTCAGTACACTTAAATTTTCTGTTGTCTTCTACTAGCCTGTGTGTTTTTATGCCCAATACTGTACTATTTGTAGAGACTAGGACAGTTCCAAAGTTTTCCCTGTGGAGGATTTGAACATTTCTGGTAAAATCCATGCTGTTTGAGTCTTCTGATTGTTGTTTACATATAGGAAGACTTAATTTCCATATGTTAATTGCTTAACTTATAGTCTGCATGAAGTTTTTGTTTTTTGAAAACTAAGCTATCTGTACCTCTTTTTCTAACTCGGTGATTCTCATTGCTTATTTTGTATAATTGCTTGGCTGTTGTCTTAACTAAAATGTTAAGTAAGAATAGTGAGTATTTGTCTTGTTCCTGATTTTCATGGAACTACCTCTGTTTTTACCCCATTAAGGAGCATGGTGGTTTAAAGACTAGCTATGTATTTATGGTCAATTTCAGGTTAAACATTAAAGTGTTATTTGAGAGCTTTTGGAGAATCAAAAATAGGTATTAAGTTTTGTCTAATACCTTTTGGCATTGTTAGGAATTTTATTAATTAGGGTGCAGTCAGAAGACAGAAATTGCTGTTACTCTTAGCTATACTAGAGAACTGAAGGGGGAAAAAAAAGTCAGAAGGGACCATGTTTTATAGAAGGAGAGCTCCAGGTGTCACATACTGAGCTGAGAGCAGGTTTGCAGGAAGAAGCCCTGAACTCCAGGGTGGCATGACTCCCTGTTGCTGGTTCCCCAGATGAGAGACTGCTATGATGATACTCTGAAGATGGGGAGCCCCTTCTTCCTGTCGGGGTGAAACATGTCTGTGGTAATGCTGAAAGAGCCAATCAGCACCTTTGTCCTAGGTCCTCCTTTCTTTCTTTGAGTTTGCCTCCAACACCCACAGTCGTGGGAGACTAAAACAGAGCCTGGTAAAGGAGAAAGAGCATATGCAAAGTCCTGGCTAAAACACAGGGGAGTAGAGAAGGATGGGTTTGAAGCTGAGGCACAAAAATGGCTATGGTGGGTCTCCTTAAATGTACTAATGTGATGAGCCACATCATAGCATTGTTGATGTTGAAACATTCCAATTTTCTTTAATTAACACGTTTAATGAGTGCCAGCTGTTACCTCAACTCAAGCCCAGTTCTGTTTTCTTTGCTTTATAATTTAGCTCAACTAAAAAAAAAAAAAAAAAAACAAAAGCAAAATCAACTTCTGCCAATAGGGTGCACTGGGAGAAGGAAAATCAGGAAGAAAGGGGCTAATTTCCTTGTACCAGCTTACTGACTTTTTCTGTTAATATCACTTTGGTAGTGGTGCTTCCCCTGTGGTGGCTGGTTGTGGCCGCCAGGTGGTGTTTGCATTCTCAGAGTCGGCCCTATTCCACTTTTGGGGAGGCACCCTGCTGCGTGGGCCATGTCCCTTCCTCAAGGGCATCAGCCCTACTTTTCAGGCTCCTAGGGTATCAGTACCATCTATGCTACACCCCATCCTTAGCCATCTGAATTCTGACTCCTAGCTCTTGAAGTCTTCATGGTAGCTGAGCCATGCGCTCCCTCATACCTCAGATCATCCACATTTTTGGGTTCAAGTTGATTCTTAAATGTGGCTGGAAGAATGCAGAATGATACAGACCTTTTGGAAGTGCTTTTAACAATATTCAACAAACTAACATGAGTTTGTCATTCAATTCTGCAGTCCCATTTTCATGAAACTGCCCGGAATTCTCTTACCAAAAATAAATAAAAATGATTGCAATGTAGTGCATACCAGTAGTGAACAACAATGAAAGAATAAGCAATCATCAATAGGGAGCACTTAATTTGAAAGCAACCTGAAATAAAAACATCTATCAAGTTGGTAAAAGGAGAAAAATTTGAAGTGAGGAAAAAGTAGTTTGAATTGACATCTTTAGCAGGATAAACTAGGAGATAAAGAACTGCAAAATCATAAACTTTCATCATTTGGCTGTTGATGTTATTTTGACTGATCTGTTTTGAAACAGATCTGTGGACAGGATAGAGTTGTTCTTCAGATTTCAAGACTGCTGGCACATGAAAAGGATACAATGGTAGATCCAAGAAGATTAAAACAACCTCTGCAATCTTAGGTTTTAATTAGAAATATCTGTGTCAACTTGTGGCTTTTTCACCCCTCTTTATAACATCTGTGTTATCCAGCTGTATTCACTGAAAATATGTAGAAGTAATGATTGGCAGTGAGGCCCTCTAGCATCCAGATTCTGCTTTCTAAGTGTAATTACTCATTTAAAATAGCCAGGGCTCTTTGAAGAAATGACTGATTCCAAACATGGGACAAGATAACAGACAAGATGAGCCTGGCACACTAGGCCAGCAAGTGAAGAAATTATTAACCACCAATGAAGCAACATCAAAAGGAAGTACTGCAATTTGAAGGTGCCTCCACTGGCCTAAGTTAAGACAAGCAACATCATTAGAAATGATGAACACTTTACAGAAAAAGTCACAGGTTTCTATTTCTTTCTAAAGGGAAGAAAGAAAAATAAGAAACATTGAAGGCTTCTGGAGATTATCAGAATGCTAACTCAGACTGCTGAAAATTTTTAATTTAAGGGAAAGTAATACAAATCTTGCTTCTTCGGTAGAAATTTAGTTTGTGCAGCTAATTGCTGTAGTGAAAGATGGATAGTTCTGTTTAAATGAATCCCAGTGATGAATGCAAAAGGAGTGCTACAGTTAGAAAAATTATAACCCGGTAATAATTGCTCAGCCAATGCTCAAAAGTGGATGTGAAACCATTAGATGAGATATTGATGGATAAACTCATTAAGAAGGGATACATCCGCTGATCAGTCTCAGGATCATTAAGAAAAATCAGACCGCCTGTGCCTCCTGATGTGCTGCAAGCAAGCCTCAACACTGAGGCTGATTCAATCAACACTTAGTGTGCAGGGAAGTGAGCAATTAACCAGATTCAAAATGCAATTCCTAAAGAGATTTATATTATGTATCTTAAACAATTGGAGGAAGATACATCTTCCATCTGCTGGTTCATTCCCCAAATGGCTCCAATGGCTGGGCTCAACCAGGTAGAAGCCAGGAGCTTCTTCATGTCTCCCAAGTGGGTGCAGGGGCCCAGGCACTTGGGCCACCCTCTCCTAT